GTGTAGCATTTGATGCAATGTGCATGTAGATCGTGAAGTATACAGTTTGTTTTTATGTATATACAAATGCAAGTATTCTGTATAATCTTTAAGTGGGCACTGTAAACTTTAACAACACAGAAAGATGGTACTGTAACAGGTACGCCCGCGTAGCACTTATATCTCCTTCCATAGAATTACATATTAATGCAGTACATTATTGCTGTTGTTTATAGCAATGAATGAGTGCAGTCCTGGTGATTGCTCTCAGCATTATGATACAAGGAAGAACGTGGTAGAGCAGAGCGTGGCTATTTTAGCGAAAGACGGAGCATTATTATCTCTCTGTTTAATCCAGGTGTGTTTGTTTGTGTATATGTGACTGTATAAACAGAATCCTCACAGATACAGAAGCAGTTCCTAAGCTAAAAACAAACACACACTCAGAGTCTTCAGCTCCTGACTCATCAAGTCTCCCACAGGAATAAATAGTGAATAGACCCTTAATGAAGTTCTCCTCTCATTGAGCTGTCTATCAGCTCCCTCTCTTTCTCTCTCAGCCATTACCCCCTCTAGGATCTCTCAGCTCACATACACAAGAAATATCTACAAGAAAGTATGTTTGACAGTGCCTTATTCTAAGAGAAGGGATGAAAAGAGGATGAGAGAAAGTTGAAAGGCAGATTTTGACACGCTTAAACAACAGCTGGAGGGGGAGTTGGAGGCAGTTTAGGTCAGCTCACACAAGAAGGCAGTCTCCAGAGAGAAAGATATGATGACATTGTCTTAGTCCTGTTTACACGTACTGTGAGGGCACATACTGTACTCATTTTGTATTCACACTTAGAAGTATCCCAGACATGATGCAAAAATAATGTTTTGGAATTATTTTGGCCACGTTGCACATGCTGAACCCAGCAGAAAAAAAAAATCAAAATGCACAATAAACCTATAAACAGTTTTGAAATATAATAAAGTTACTTGCATATCATTTGAAAGGGTCTTTCTGTTCAGTAAATCTGGCTAAATACATGTGAGTTATGGCCATTCTTTTGGGTTGGAGTGCAGTTTACTGACTGGCTTCATCACTCTCTCCTCTCCACCAGTAATCTGGTGTGTGTTGGGCGTTCTGGCACAATATGGCTGCCATGGCATCTTTCAGGTGGATACTGCACATTGGCGGTGGTTGAAGAGACTCCCTCTTCCATGTAAAGTACCCAGAAAAGCGCTATATAAATGTAACAACTTATTATTATTGTTATTAATTACCTAATTTATTTGTGGTCCCGTTCGTCGCGTAAACTTTGAAGTTTGAAAAAAAGATTCTGAGGCACTTTTTCTGCTTCTCTTGATTACGTGTAATTGTCTGAGATATTGGTGATACTGTATTGAAAACACAGACAAACATGTTAAGCTTTCTCTCAGTGAAATTCCTAAGTTTTCATAATGTAGAGTGAGTTAATATATGATCAATTAAATCAGGAAACTTGATAAGTTTAAAATAATAAACATCCGTTAACGTCGTCCTCTTGATTGTTGTTCACCTGAGAGTGCAATAATTCTGATGCAGAGCTGCCAACTTGAGTGTAGCTTCTCTGCCGTATAATGCACGTGCGCGGTTAGGAGCTCAACATCTGTCTCGCATCCACTTTCTCTCTAGATTACAGGATATTTGAACTACTTTGCGGTAAAACTCGGTCACGAGTGGCTCAACAGGTAGATCTTAAGATAAACTCATCTTTCAGGCATTTGACCGACCGACACTTCAGCGTGAGAAATCGGGGGTGTGGCATGAGAGCGTGAGAATTGGCTCAATTGCGTGAGCCTTACGCCGAATGCGTGAGATTTGGCAGTCCTGCTGATGAAAAATGTAAAAGTAAAAACAATCGTGATAAATTCTCACAATTATGATTTTTTAATTTCGTAATTATCAGTTTTAAATCATTATGCAGCCCTATAACTTCCGGTAACCATTATATACTTTATGGCCATTATTAAAGACAGTAGTGTGTGTTGACAGCTCAGCAACAGAATAGGGAAATGATAACGTATCCTTCAACATAAAAATAAAGCAAAAAATATGGCATTGTGAGTTTTAGTTCACTTTTCTCCTATAGGCTATAATAGTTTATGGAGAAATAGGAAGGTGTTGCACATGTCACCATGTTGCTTCAGCTCTGATTGGTGGTCCCCTGCATGTGGCCCCTCCCCCTAACCCCCTCTCCCTCCGCAGTCTACGTGTTTTGCATTTTGAGCTCACTCGCGGCAGCAGGTGGAGATGACATCATCTGCACTGCAGCAGACTGCAGCACTGTGTCTGAACAAAGACATGTCAATGCTGCTGCTAACTGGTGCTCTGTGTCTCTTGCCATCTTTTTAGCTTCCATCGCTCTCTCTCTTTCCTGGCATGGTATCTGAATGAAGACTTAACACTGACTGCACACAGAATGAAGCCCACTGATTCAATAAGTCATAGTTTAAATGAAAAATAATCATGCTAGTCCTCACCCAGCAGGGTTTAGTAATGGTGGTTGTTAAGGTTTTGAGGTTGGGTTAAGAGATTTGAACAAATCCCTTAACTTTGTAAAATATACTGCAGAATTGATGTATGTTTTCTAAGTAGCTGAAAGTCTTTTTCCCTGACTGACAAGGTAGCCACCCAGCAATGCCCAACAAGTTAGTAACTGCATAGCAACATGTTCAGTTACACTCTAAATACTTTAGCAATGGCATAGCAACACACTGCTAACCACCCAGAACACATAACATTTATTTTGGTGAGTTTTGCACAGGCTCTTTCTGCAGCACTTTAGCAACTACACAGAACATCATAGAAACTACAAAGCAACATGCTAAAAATCACTTAAGGCTGGACACTAAATGACTTATACTACATGATTTTTGCCCCGATTTACCATCTAGACGAGTCAAAAATAGTTGATGAACTATAGATATAGTGGACTGAAAGTAAAATTTAAGTTTACGTTAAAAACAAGCACTGTGATCAACAAAAGTTTATGATAATTACACGTTTTGTCCATTAAGTTAATTTTCACAGATGAACACGTTTATGAGTTTTGAAGCTTAAATGAGGTCGCCATAAGTAAAAAGCTGTCCAATGTAACCAATTACCCCTGACTTCAACGTCACCATTACTACGCTTCCGACAACTCTTTCAGTTTAGCTGTTATGTGCGATGATGTTTAATTTCCCCGACTGCCTCTGTAGTCTTATTTACAGCCATTTGTTAGCAGCCGCCTTTTTCAAGACACTTAACAGAAAAAATCACAAGTGGGGTAATTTTGATATATTTTATGTTGTAGAATAAAACGTAACAGTGGCTTGAGTTTGTGTTCACCATAGACCTTATCCATTTAACCAAAACCCCATTCAAAAAAACAAAAAAAAAACTTTTGGCCTACAAAGTGATGTCTTATCTGCACCACTCTATTAGGACCCGAAATAGATTAATATTGCAGTTTAAAACTAAGAAAATAAACAATTTAGGAGAATAGTGTAGCAAGGTTAGACGTGGGAACAAGGAGGCGGGAACCAGCAAACGTTCAACAATTTTAATAATGTGAAATAACCAAACACAAAAACGGAAGTAAAGATAGAGCCCAGTAAAGTAAAGACATAAAACAAAACCTAAGCCCTTTCACACTGTCGTCGCTCCTCCTTTTAAGCCTCCATGAGAAATACGAGACCGGTGTGTTGCGCAGGCAGGTATCGCTAATCACGCCACCGGCCTCACGCCGTTCTCTCACAGCCCTCGGCCTCATCCTGCTCGCCACAAATAGTATGTGCAAAACAGCAGGAAAACTGTATATTCATGCAGTGTGCGCATGTCAAAAAATTAATTCCAATTTGAAGCTTGTGGTATAAACATATAAACGTGCGCATCAACCCAACCACTTTATTTAGCGTTCATGTAAACACTCGGGTTCATCTGCTTAATAAATTATGATTTCATTCCGATTGAAACAAAAAATGTCCATGTAAACGCAGCTGTAAATGACTGCTGTCTTACTGAGTTGTCAAACAGTGTGAATTTATGTACATGATCACTCTTGACATTTTCACCAGGCAACCAAACACTATCTTTTTTTTGTGGTGTTCATGGCCCTCTAGATTAATACTTTTGTTTAGACATAAAATATTGCTTACTAGCTACATTAGCATGGATAAGCTACAGATTCTTTTAACCTTTTTGCACTTTTGTCGTCTCTCAATGTGCCTCTTCGTTCCTCAATAAACTGACACTGGAGCAAACCACAGCCCAGCATGCCCCTGTCGCCTGGTTACCGTGCAGCTGCAGGTTGCCACAGAAACAGACTTATCAGTGAGAGACATATACAGTTCTCAGTACTGGTGCTGTAATTCACCTGTGCTGGTTCCAGTTCTCATCTTTTCCACCTGCACAGTGACCATTTCTGATTGACAGATTACGTGGCTATTTCTAAAACCAGCTTGATGTGTGTGGATTTGGGTTTCAAAGTAATTTTGTAAGCATTTAACTCATCCTACAGCCTAGCAATAATTCAGAAAACCTTAGAAACCCCATAGCAATGCCCTGGGCACCCTTGCATATAGGGTTGCACTTGCAGAAAATGTAAAAATCTAGTTAGGAAGTACAAATTCCAAACAAATCTGTGTATGTTCACTGCTGTGTTTTTGAAGCTGAATGTGTTGATGTGCCTCATTAATGATTCCATTAATTTACAATAATGACTGCAATTACGGAAATGGTGATTGATAACATCAGACTCTGTGTCTTGATTGGAAAGCATAAGGGTAATGAGTCTGAGTTTTAATTAAACATCCAATATAGAATATTGCTTGGGGATGTGAGCTGAACCAGAGAAGAATTTATTTCGGACCTCAGTGAGTACAGTTTGCAGCAACCATTTGCATTGCAGAAGTGTGAATTGTACAATAATTTGCGAATTTCGTTCATTTTGGTCTTTATATTGTTGAACTAAAGTTGGAATCCAAGTGGTTAAACCGATTTTCCTCTGCAGATAACCAGTTCAGAATGTCCATCCTGGAGCGGCTGGAACAGATGGAGCGCAGGATGGCTGAGATGGCTGGTCAGCAGCAGCAGGGCAGTGGAGGAACAGCGGGGTCTGGAGGAGGAGGAGGAGAGGGGGGAACGGAGGCGCTAATAGCCAGTCTCAGGTACAGCAGCACATCAGTAATTATTGTGTGAGATTAGAATGTATTTTAAAACGCCGACAAGTATGTTCAGCCATATTGTAAAGTCTTTCTATTGTCCATTTGAATGTATATATACCGGTATATATACGTATATATACAGTATATGTATATATACACTTTTGTTTATGCATTTTCCAGTTCTGTTTATAGCTGCCATGATTAATCTCATAAAAAGCATAATCATTCACAAACAAAATGTAATTTGCATTTACAATAAACAATATTAAAATTCAGTTAAATCATTTAGATGAAAAATGATGCATATTGTAATAACATGGTGTTTATTAAAACCGGTTTTGTGAGCCAGCTGAGCCAATTTATTATAATGATTGTTCACAATGTTCACCGCTGCAGCTTTTCCTCTCATAGAATATACAGTAGTTTGGGTTTTTTTTTTGAGCCATAACAAATGGTGCAGAAAGCAATGACATTTTGTGAAAGATTGTGACAGTTGATTGAGCTTGTGAAGACGTGAAGCACTCCGTGTTCTCCTGCAGTGTATCTCGGGACAGGCAGGAAGCTCTTTTGAGAGTCGTGTGGTGGTTGTTTGTGAGAAGATGATGAACAGGGCCTGCTGGGCCAAATCCAAACACCTGATTCACTCAAAGACCTTTCGGGGCATGACCTTGCTACACCTTGCGGCAGGCCAAGGCTACGCCACCCTCATCCAGACTCTCATCAAATGGCGGTCAGTTAAGATCTGTCTACTGTACATCTGTGTGTAAATCTGTTATTTCCTTTGTCATTTGCTAACCATGAGAAATGGTATTATCTTATCTAGCACGAAGCATGCAGACAGCATTGATCTGGAACTTGAGGTGGACCCTCTCAACGTGGATCACTTCTCTTGCACTCCACTGGTGTGTTCCTCAAGAAATTTTATTTGAACATTAGTGCATTTGACAACTCCATTGCGCCGTATTTGCTTTTCTTACCACTCTGTTTCCTTTTTGTAGATGTGGGCTTGTGCTTTGGGTCATCTGGAGGCAGCAGTGGTCTTGTACAAGTGGGACCGGAGAGCATTAGCAATCCCAGACTCTCTAGGCCGCCTGCCCCTCTCCATCGCCCGCTCCCGTGGTCACACCAAGCTGGCGGAGTGTCTGGAGCAGCTCCAGAGGGAGGAACAGCAGCAGCAGACCCCGTCCTCCTTGCCCCCTACCTCCAGCATGTCTTTCTCTCCAAACCCTGACATCCCCACCTCCAACAGCTGGATGGTCAGCTGGGCCAGCGACAGTATGGTGACCCCCAGTGGGCAAAACACTGGTACTACCACCACTACTACAACACCTTGCACCAACCAGAACCCTGGTGAGAACCTCTGAAGTAGTTAGTTATACTGCAAGATAGTAACACAAAGTTGCTTTAAAGCTATTTAAGGGGGCATTTTCTTATGGTCACACTTTAGATTAGGGTCCAATTCTCACTATTAACTAATGATTAACCACGACTTTTGCCTTAATAAACTCCTAATTACTGTTTATTAATGCTAGTTGTTACAGTAAGTTTAGGTATTAGGTATGACTTGGGTAAGATTTAAAGGAGATTTAGAATATGATCATAAAGAGTAAGGCACTAATATGTGCTTTATAAGTTGTCTTCAGCATTTCTTGATCCTTCAGAAATCATTCTAATATGCTGATTTTGTGCTCAAGAAAGATTTCTTATTATTATCAATGTTGAAATCAGTTGTTCTGCTTCGTTTTTGTCAAAACCATGATGCATTTTTTCAGGATTCTTTGATTAACGGAAAGTTCAAACAGTATTTATTTGAAGTCTTCTGTAACATTATAAATGCCTTTACTGTCACTTTTGATCATTTTTATGTGTCTGTGTATATCAGAAGTACAGTATGAACCAATCCACTACAATGAATCAGACTTTCCAAAACTAAATATGATAGGAGATATTTTAGGAGAGCTCACTAGGCTACTAGTTGCAATTACTAATGTAATACTTTATAGCATTCGCTTCAATGAGCAGTACTTGCTGCACAATCTAATTCTATCGTATTTATTTTTTTAAATTAGAACTAACAGAACCTGTTGTAATGGAAATATCATGTGGAGCTCACTGTCTCTTTCTCTTTTGTGCATAGATTTGAGAAGACCAAGATCAGAGCCCTCCAGCTACTACAGCAACGAGTGCCAGCGGGAAATCCCCCTCGCCAAGAAACACAAGCCCAACCCAGAGCTTGTGCAAGCACAGCTGGAAAAGCCCATGTCGGTTCCCTTGAACATGGAGCAGCAGACACATAAACTGTCAACCAGCCCTAAGACCCTCGTCTCCACCCCATCCAGCCCAGATAAGAGCGTCTCTGAGGAGGGTTTAGGGACAGGGGGCATCCCACAAGCCAGGATGGCCTCTTTCCGTGGAGGGCATAAATGGGCCACTAGAGAGGTGCTCAGGAAGGGAGGCATCAGCGGCGTAGGGAAGGAGAAGTTGGCCAGCCGATTACGACAGCGCGGCGAACCCCTCAGCATGCTGGGAATCGTGGAGAGGGAGATTGTAGACACAGAGATGCTTTCTTACAAGGAGGATCTAGAGAACCAGGACTGCCTCTCTCACATGGAGGATCTGCAGGTGAGAGAAGTGCACATACACACAGTGCCCTAAGCGGCACTCACTTACAGTCAGCCAGCCTCATTCACACCTGTATTGATGCATTTGTATAAATAAATAGGCTCAGCAAACAAACACGGCTACAAGCATTGAGAGGCCAAAGGGTATATAGAGCACCATCCGTCCTGCTGACATTTGAAATGAGCGCTAGAGAGCCGCGGTCACAGCTCCGCTCTCTGCAGTCTGCACAGACCTTCGTCACCACATAATACACTTCTGCCATTGATTTGCTCCTATTGCCAGGAGTTAGTCCAGCCCCATTCATCTCTGTCACTCTATGGGGATAGAGAGGCTGTTGCAGCATGTTCCTCCAAAGTAAACACCCCGGTGCTTGATTGATCGGCTGGGTTAGCAAGTGTGTGTGCTTTTTGTCACACTAGAAAGTCAGTGCTTGTGTAACACGTGTTTGTTTTTGCTCGTTTGTGCGCCTCACAGGCGAATATGATGAGCCTGGCGGAGCACATCATTGAGGCCACTCCGGAGCGCATCAAGCGGGAACATTTTCCAACCGTGGAGTCTGTTCCTCTGGACAACAGTGGCCTCACCAACACCATGAGCTGGCTGGCCAGTTACCTGGGAGACGTGGAACACCTGCCCAGCATCATCCACTTGAGGTTAGCCAACAGCTTGTGAAACGCATACTTTAATATACATACTGTATGTACTGAAATGCATGACCAGGGTGGGAAATTCACTTTTTTGCCCAACCACAGTGGATGGTTCAATGCAGAATTTTGGTCCCACTTTATATTAAGTGGCTTTCAGTACTATGTACTTACATTGAAAAATAAGTACAATGTATTGTAAAACACTTTTGCTGCTATTGAGGTGTGATCTGGGTAAGGTTAGGGACAGGTGTGGTGGTATGGGTAGGTTTAAGGGTAGGTTAAAGTGTAAGGGATGGGTCCGCTGTGTAATTACAGATGTAATTACATAAATTAGTTACAGCTGTAATTACATGCTGGTATTTTAAAAATATAAGTACAATGTAAAAACATCTATGTACACAATAACTCCATTGTACTTTCATTAAAACGAATAATTTGATACATAGTACTTAAAGCCACTTAATATAAAGTGGGACCAGAATTTTTACCAACTCCAATTTTTACAATTTTTTTTCAGACATTTTTCATTTTAAACATTTTTCAGAGAGTCCAATTTAAAATAACTATAAGTTAACTGAGTGAAAACGGTTGTAGTTACACCTCTTTTTTAAAAAACATCAAAAAAATAAAGTAAATGTAAAGTTTCTGTTGCACTGTTTATGTTTTTAGCATTAATAACTTTTTTTAACACTGATAATAATAAGAAACTTTTCTTGAACAGTAAATCAACATATTACAAGGATTTCTGAAGGATCATGTGACTATGAAAAATGGATTAATGATTGCTGACAATTCAGCTGTGCAAGTATATTTTAAAAAAAAGTTAATTTTGTAGTGTAAAATTATTTCACAATATTACAATTTCTATTGTATTTTTTTATCCAATATATGCAGCCTTGGTGAGCATCTTTCAAAAAAAAAAATTGTTGATTTAACCTCATAGCATGCAGCCAAAAATATTATTGCACAAATGTGAGCCTGTATTGCATTCACATTCTTAATATACATTTTAAGTGAAGAGCATGATGGAGATGAGACGTTCTGATGTTACCTGCGTTTGCCTTGTGGCGGGTGTTAATTTCCCACCCTGAAAGAATCGTTTAAAGGAAAAACAAAATGTACGTCTCAGCCCTGCTAACTTCATATATGTGTGTGCCTGTTTTGTTTCTGTGCAGTCCCATATACAGTGAACCCCTGACCCCTCCCTCCAACCCTAGCCTGAGCCCGGGTAACTCGCCCATGCGTGAGGGCCCGTTTGAGAAGCCGACCTTGCCCGCCCCAGCCGAGTGGAGTGAGTTTCTCAGAGCCTCCAACAGCAAAGTGGAAAGAGAGCTAGCCCAGCTCACATTGTCGGACCCCGAGCAGAGGGAGCTCTATGAAGCCGCACGGCTGGTGCAGACCGCTTTCCGCAAGTACAAGGTACAGGCCAGTGGCTCTTGTGTTGATGTGTGAATAGAGACAGGATGTAAACGTCTGTGCACGGGTATTGGTAGGAACGAACATGGGACATACTCTTGTCTCCTTCCTTTTGATTCCATTAACACACAGACACAGAGTAGTCAGTCCCCACAGCTTCAGCATGGGTAAGGTGGCTTAACCAGCGCATGGCCTGGCTTATAAGGAGCGATTGCTGCCTCCTGTGGCTGCCTGTAATGAGTTTCCACAAAGATTCACCAGCTGGCCAAACTGGCGGCTTGTGCTCGGAGGCATCTGGTCTCTCAGCACCAGCTGCACCTAAGCAAGAAGGGCGTCTTTTCTCTATGACAAGTGAACAGCCTAGTGGCCGTCCTCCATGTGTTTCCCTCTCCTCAGACCAACCCTTTTCTTTCTCTCCCTGCAGGGACGCCCACTGCGCGAGCAACAGGAAGTAGCCACCGCTGTCATTCAGCGCTGTTACAGGAAGTACAAGCAGGTAATCCTTTAAGATGCTCTGTCATTGACTTTGCCAACCTTTACTGGATGTCTGGTTAATGCGTCAAGTTCCGGCAAACGCAATTGAGTCAATTATAAGCTTTCAGAGCAACATCAACCGCAAGGTCACATTCATGACAAATCTTTCTTTTTTTTTTTCTTTTACAAGCTAACATGGATAGCCTTGAAGGTAACTTGTTTTCATTGTTCATGCATTATTTAAAGCAGATTTTAGATTCAATAGCAATGGTCTCTTATACACTGTCATTCACACATTTTGACACAAGTATGTATATCTGCGCATTACTTGCAAGGGATACCAAACTGTGCAGACCAAAGAGACTGATCCCGCTAGAGCCCAAGCAGGATTTAGGGAAAATTTAACTGGAAAAAACAATATTTGTTATCAAAGGCACAATAGAAATACATTTGAATTGAATGAACAATTCTCTTTCTTTAGTTTAAGCATCTAACATTACATAACAGCAGGTAGAACTTAAGACAAAGTCAATATTTTCTACATCATATTTGCATTGGCTTCAGTACAGTAACAATATAAAAGCCCATTCAATTTAGCAAACTTTATATCACGCTTTTTATCTCACAGCATAAATGGGTGAAATACATATAGCTGCCTTTATATTTTACGAAGGGGGTTGTTTTAAAATGTTTGGAAACACCTGTATTCTAGAAAAAGATTTTAAAAAATGCAACCTGTCGAGCATGAACAAAAATATACATAGGCCTACAGGTTTGAAACAACATAAAGGTAAGTAAATGATGACAGAATTTTCACTGTTGGGTGAACTATCCCTTTAAATACGGTTTTCGCTTCCTAAACTTTTGCAGTGTGTGACTTTTGCAATTACTTTTTTTGTCATTAATGTCTTGAAAATGTGTGTTTATGTATCAGTATGCACTTTATAAGAAGATGACGCAGGCCGCCATCCTTATCCAGAGTAAGTTCCGCAGCTACCACGAGCAGAAGAAGTTCCAGCAGAGCCGGCGGGCAGCCGTGCTGATCCAGCAGTGTTACCGCAGCTACAGGGAGTTTGGCCGTCTGAGACCCCACCGCAGAGCAGCCACCGCGGCACTGGTCCAGCACAAACTCAGGTAGCACCCATAAACCGCCCCGTACAGTCTGTCCAAATCTGATTCCAACTGTTGTTTGATATTATGTGTTCAGCCAATAGCACTTATGAATCTGTTCCAAGTGGCATACTGTTCTGAGCTTTGCCCTGCGAGATATTTTATTCATGGACAAGATGTAATATGCCAAAGTAAATGTGTTTAAACGAGACATTTGTGTTTCAGAAGCAGTCTTCTCACTAAGAGGCAAGATCAGGCCGCCCGCAAGATCATGAAGTTCCTCCGCCGCTGCCGCCACAGGTATTCTCCCACCAACGCCATTCATCCGCTACCTGAAACACTCCTGATTCAAATGCAAATGTGATGGTTTTTTTTGTTTGTTTGTTTGTTTGTTTTTGGTGAACTTATTACAGATACTAACAGAACTAACAGTGTGATTCATTAATTATGAGTGGTTTAGAGAGAGGTGCTCCTCCCTTCCCTTGGCTCCCCCTCCTCCACCCCAATCATCATCATATCTGCTGTGTGCTAATAGCTGTCTGGTGTTGTTTTGCTGTTAATGCAAAGCCCCTTGATGGACCATAGACTATTCAAGCGGGTGAGTGCAGCCTCAGCGATTCAGTATGTCTTCCTTTTTTCTACTGAATCTCTCTCCCTCTCGCTCGTCACACACACACAAAGACCCTCCCCCCCATCCTTTCTTGCTCCTTCTTGCCCTCCTCATCACCGTTGCTTGATGCCTGCTTGCATGACAGCTACCAACTGGACGCACAAATGGCCGAGATCAAGGGCCTCAGCATATGATGGGCTTCAGGATATCAGTTGTGTCTTGCTACACACTAACCACTGAGATGCTGCATTAAACAAGCACCTTTTTCTCCTGTCTAGATTATTTAAGTTTCCTTTACTTCCTGCATTTGTAAAGATGAAAAGACGGAAGAATTGAAGGTTGTTTGGTGTAAACAACGTTGCATGGAGATGATGATGATGATGGTGAGGCATGCTGGGAAATATGTGACCCAGAGAAAACTGTCTTGCCTCTCTGGCTTGTGTGTTTTAGTTCTGACTAAAGCCTGTTTTATTGCACATGCTGCCGTGGGAACTGTCTATCTCTATTTAATTGTTTAGTTTGTGAAAAAGCAAAACGAAACTCGTATTTTCTCATATGTTTGATGTATTTCAAAACGAAGACAGAATGATCATCAGACAGCAGACAACTTTTTTGTCAAAGATTACATGATGAGAATGTTTCAGACTGGTTTAGTATTAAATGAAATGCAGACTATTTTAAGCTTTTTGTCCTAAATATCTACTTAGAGCAGAAACTTGCAAGGTGAGGAGGCAATGAAGAAAATGGGGCAAATTGTCAGTGAAGATCTGAGAGAACGTTTGCACAGAGCACTCGCTAGAACAGTGTTCTTTCATACAAGTGATATAGAAATTATTATAAAAATATTATGTTAATTTTTATACACTACTGTTCAATGGTTTGGGGTCAGTATGATTTCTAAAGTAAGTAATACTTCTATTTAGGGAGGATTGAGAGTTTATACATTTCTGATGTTACACATACATACTGTATATATATATATTATCATGTATATCATAGTTTCCACAAAGATATGAAGCAGCGTAACTGTTTTCAACATTGATAATAATAAGAAAAAAATATTGAGCAGCAGATCAGCATATTAGAATGATTTCTGCAGGATCATGTGACACTGAAGACTGGAGTAATGATGCTGAAAATTCAGCTTTGCCATAACAGGAATAAACTACATTTTGCATTTCACAATATTATTATTTTTGCTGTATTTTTGATCCAATAAATGCACCCATGGTGAGTATAAGAACTCAAAAACCTACAAAAAAAAATTGTACTCACCCCAAACTGTTGTGTATTGACTTATTTAGATGAATCTTTAAAGGGACACTCCACCCATTTGCATTAAGCTTTCCATTGTTTGAAACCCAGTTATCGTGCAACACTCTCTCATTTTCCCCTGAGACGAGAAAAATCTGCTATTTACCTTTTTCACTTCCTCCTACAATGACGCAAAAATCGTCATTTTACGTCATTGTTGGAGGAAGTGTAAGAGGGGGGATTTCTGTAAAGACTACAAGCACTAGACCCGCCTATAGGGGGTTGGACCTAATACGTTAACAGACCTATCACACATCAGTGCCAATGCATCTGATTTCACTGGCAGAAACTTTTTGAAAATATGGACTAAGCTGAACACGCAGACGGATGCATTATGGAGGATTGGGATTACACATAGTGTCAGCCATCTTTTTTGGAAGCTAAGCTAGCAGGCTCTTGTTTTGTGGAGAAAGCCGAGTGGTAGGGGTTACCATCCTCTTTTTCCTGGACATGTACGGCCGTCGATGTCCGGGATTCAGCTTTTGCTTTTTGAAGCTTTTGTTTCAATCTAACTGAATTTATTCTGATTGGTGAATCTGAATGTAGTGTTTACATGACCGCTAAACAAGTGATCGGTTGATGTACGTTTTCCCACTCCTCGGAGAGAGATACAAGTCTGGTAACTTACATCTCATAGGTGTCGCTCATCGGTAATCACGCCACCGGCCTCGCGCCGTTCTCCCGTGGCCCTCAGTCCTCCTAAACATGATGAATGGCGACTGTTGAACGCAAAAGCCGAATCCCGGAAATTGTGGGTGATCTCGAAACACATTTTCGGGCAGACTCATCACGGAGACTCACTAGTAACATTAGCCTAGACTTGTTGTTTAACTACTGCGCTCTGTAGGCGTGGCCTCCTTGGGCAGCGAAGCAAGTGCATTCTGGGAGCTGTTGTCTTTCATCCACATAAGCCAAAAATACTTTTCTCAGTCTAGAAAACTCCAAATTCAAAAGTAATTTCACATTTCTTTTACATAAATGACCCATTTTAAATACACATTCATCTTTCCAGAGGTGGAATGACCCTTTAAAATGGTTAAGTGTTCCACATAAACCATGCAATCTCGTAACAATCGGTGTCCAACAATATCTTTTAGACTGTGCTGGAGGGATACTTAAAGATTTAAAAAGGTTTTTTTATGTTTTAAACATGCCTTAATGTCTGTTTGTTTGTTTTTTCAGAGTGAGAGAATTGAGAAAGGCCAGGGAACATGAGAGCGTCCAGAAGAGCCCCCTCACAATGTGACATTACTCTCCAGACTCTTCCTTTCAGTTTTTCTGTTTCAACCAGAGACGTTTTACAAGAGGAAAAAAAATAGCAAGAACACTGCAACTCTTACTACTACTGTATGACTGATACTTCGGCTACTAAACAACTGCGTTTTTTTCATATCTCTTTATTCCTTCTACGTTTCTTTTATGAAGAAAAGAGGCAACTGCTTTTGATCAAAACAAACTCAAAGGACGTTGTTTTAGGAGGAAGAACATTTGCTTCGTGGCATTTTTTGCACTTTTTAATGGATTGATTTGTCATTTTGGATGAGCATTGAAAGGTTTCGTTTGAAAATGGATGATTGGAAGTCATGCTCTTCAGTGGCTCGTAAAGAAAAGAGAAACGAAAAGAGAAAGATGGTAACAAAATATGGCGTCGACACAGAAACATGGCCGGACCTGTTCCGAGTGTATTTCGTAGTTTTCGAAAAAGATGACAAGATGTGTTTGGAGGGTAAAATTGTTACCAAAAATGATGTATAATTCATGAATTAGTTTTTGTACAGCCAGACGAATTCATCAGAAACTTCTTCCAGCCTGTCCCTTACAGTTGCCCGTCTTCTCTTGGCTACAAGGGGACCGGGTTGCTAATGAATGTAAGAGGTAAATGCGCAGGCTTGGGTGATGTCATGCTGATTTTATTTTGCCAACAAGGAGTACATACAATTTTAATCGACAACTATTTTCAGATCGATGATACTCGGCGACACACGTCAGCGAGACAACGGATAGCTCCAGGCAGATCTTGAAACTAGGCCTCAGTCTTTTGGTTAGTGTTGTTTTCAACTCCATTCATGCACTGGAGACACCAAATGTCATCACCTCTGCCCATCGTTTACTATTGGCAAGTTTGTAATATGTTTTCTTTTGTTAATCCAATGTTAAATAGTCATTGGCGAAGCATTTGTTTCGGTTGAAAATCAACTTCCGGGGTTTTCTAAAGCTGTTTCAAGAGAAAGTTACATACATTGCCTTGATATCTTTGACATACTTTGTCAAGGGTCTCCGCACCCGGGGTTTCGACAAATCCATATTTTTGACAATTGAGCGGTTCCTGTACATAAAGAAGGCTGCCAGTACGCAAAGTTAAACATTTACCTAAGCAGGATTGTATTTTAGAAATATATTATTTTCCTCATTGAAAGGGATCAAAACAGATTCGCATTCAAATCTAAATATTTGTATAGTTTTGTTTGAATGCCTAAGAAGTATGGTTGTATCGTTTGTACATAGTGTAAATACCTGGGATAAAGTCAAGCTACTGTATGTGCATGACAAAAACGAACAAAGATACAAAAAAAAAAGAGTTCAAAAGCATTAGTGGCTATGCTCTGTAAAACTATTTCACTATAAGAGTATTTTATTTTACTTTGAATGTTCTTGAGAAGAACATTTTGCTAAAGCATGACGTTCCTGCAATTATGAAAAATTCTATTTATGAGGTAGGAGAAAAGGCAAAATGATCATTCGGTTATGTTTACATCTGTTTGTTTTTTCGGGGCTACCAAGAATCTTTTTGCCAACGGTGCCAAGTAATGTGAATGCTACTGCTTAAAGGAAGTAAATCATTGCTGAACAGATAATCACATGGAAAAAAAAACGTGATCAGATTCACTTGCATTCAATATGCATAACCCATGAACACAGTCAAGAATGATGGTGTATTTCAGGAAGGATCTTTAAGTGTATCACATATCCGATTTGGTTCATTTGTATGTTTGTTTTGTGTTTCATAAGCCCAAATACTTTTGTATTATGTAAAATGTGCTTTTCTGTTATGACTGCAGAGGTAGTTGACCTTATGGCAGCATTATGCCGTTTTAAGTGTCTAGTTCAAGAAGATGTGCAAGAATCCCTGTGAGTTGACAGTAAAGACACACTGTAGAAGCTTAAATATTGACACAACCTCTTTAGAGATCCACACTGACTAAAAGATTAGGTTATCTGTTATGCATGTGAACGGGACTCTTTCGGTGCTAAAACGTTGGCGTCAAGGGCCTGATGATAGACCTCCAAAGATCAACCAATGTCACCAGGGACGTAACTTTCAACAGCAGGTGTCGCCATGGCATGTGAAAACGATTTCTAATGCACTAAAATGTGTATATTTTAGTTCCCCCCTCATGTCATATTTTGTATTTGCGTCTGATATGTACATGTTTTCTTCAGCGTGCTTATGTTGGAAGTGCCTGATCATATTCGAAATCCAGCGAGCCGTGTCAGTCAGTCTGCATGTGAGGTTTGCAAGGGACTGGCATTAGTCGGTTGTTTTTTTTTTTATTTTCCTTTGTCTGTACCTTCTCCATGTATTTCATTTTTAACGCACCAGGAATTTATGGCTTCGTCATAACTCACGTCCTCTATTGGAACTGCCAGATGAACCCGCGAGGACTGCAGATTTCAGTCCGGCTGGTTCTTGCCTTGCATTCATCATTCCGGTAGCAGTTTAGGTTGTCAGCTGATGCACTGCGGTGGCAACTCGAGTCTTATTATGCTTGCATGGGTAACATAGATAACCGGGTTGCTGAAACGGCACCCAAAGCATGCTTATTTTTGTAGATTTGGTAGTCGGGTAGACTTGTTGAAGAAATACTGTTCTGTAAAGCAGCTGGTTTCACGGGTTGCAGAACTTCAAACAGACCGATGGCTACGAAACGTACACAAAAGTCAAAACAGCTGGCAAGTTGTCCGTAGCCTACTCATATTTACAGGGGCAGCATGAGTCTTTTTTCTTTTTTTATCAAATAGAATTTGGCTTCCAGTTTCGTTTTAAATGGCATCGAATTCAGTTTCACTCCACTTTCCATTCACATTACCATTTCTTAGATGACTCCGCAACAGAAACAGGTTAAAGAGAAAAAAAAAAAACGTGTGTACCTCATACAAAAACACGCGCCACAGAACTGTGTCCATATCCACGTTAAAGTGTCCACGGCACTAGTGCAGTCGAAACCTCGGCGGGTTCACTTTTGTATCTTAACTCAGGTGCCAAACTGGAGAGAAGGGGAAGTAGAGCAGGTCACTTGAGAATTAGTTGCTGCTTATTGGGAAACGAGCCACACTGTCCTGATCAAATTACTGTGATTCTGAACATGTCATGCTGTTCACCTTTTTTTAAACCAACTATGTGAGCTGAGTTGGCGTACCTTGGGTCCCCAAAAACCGATTTGTCAAAAGAGCCGCTCTGACTGGTGTTGTATAAGAGTGATCAAGCCCGTTGGAATGGAGCAGGTCTGCACGAATGCGTCTGATGCTTGTGTAAATACGCATGGATGTTTCAGTTCAATGCAGCTTCTCCGGATATACTGAATCACAATGGTGAAAAAGTGCTGCTCAGATCCATTCATCATCACGTTATCATAGCCATGTAGTTTCTAAACGCCGGACTATAACCTCACCTGGTCGCATACGGGTTCATTTTGACAACTCTGCTTCAGCTTTAACGGTATCACAGCTCAGCCCACAGAAGATACCTCATCATCATCATCACTTTTGTTTGTCGCGTCACCAACTTTCCTGCGCATGCATTCTTTAGAAAAGGGAAACCAATATCCCACCTTTCATGGACACAGAGCAATAAGCAGTTCCTGAAGTGAAGACCTGTAGACCTAATAATGGGGACCGCGATCTGTTGTTGGACACACGTAGCTGACTAACTCTTATGCAAATGCCAGTATTGTGAGATTAGAATGCAGTAGTTTAAGGACAGTGCTTATACGACACCCTTCATGGAGCTGCACGTTTTCATCCCTTTCAAACCCAGAAAATAACGGCCCTGTCTTTATTACAAGCTACACTTGGGGCTCTCTACACTTTGCATGTTAAACTAGTGTTAGATCTACTTTTCCTCTCCTCTCTCTAGCTGTCTTTCTCTGTCTTTCCCGATTATGTATCCCTCTCCCTTCCTGCCCCTTATTTTGTTTTCTTCTTCTTCTTTTTTTAAATGTCTTAGTTTTTCTTCCTTCTCCCTGGTTTGAGCAATTTATTTTTGTAATTGTGCATGTTAAAGAGTCACTGAATCGATGGATATGTTAAAAAAGAGAATTCAGCTGCTGAAGCCATGCAAAATGTTTTGAATTGCCCTTAAATAATGAAAGATGTTTTCTGAATGCTTTATATTCTCTCTGCTGTAAAATAATAAAAGGGGAAAAACTTAAAAAGTTTCAAAGTTATTTTAGTGTCTTTTTAATAAAAAAAAGCACTGGTGTGCATCTTGAGACAAAACAATAGTACTGATGTATTTTCAGATTGCATTATAGTCTGGCATCTTGTCTTTGATTGCTCAGTTGGGCCATCTGTAGGTCACTGCAACACACTGCAGTCTGTCATTTAGTGAGGATGCCATGAGTTTTAGGTCCAAATGATGGCGTTCGTGTTCATTGAATCATGAATTAGTGAAAGGTCATACAGTAAATTTTAGAGTTATTGGTTGTCCTTGGACTTATATTCAGAGTCAGTGATTAAATTAATGGTTATTTTGTTTTGTGTGATCGGGAGTTGTGGTCACTTTATGGGAATAATAGCTTATGATAACAGGAAATGACTGCTGTGTGGGCATTTGTGCTTGTGCTGAAGAGGCATTTTTGCTTTTAATATTGGTGATAGAGCGGGGGACAGTGATTGGGTCAGTTACTGGCAGGGTTTATGGGCCAGGTAACTGCCCTCTGGAATCCAAACACGTGGTTATTGGTCAGGATATAAATTGTGAAGATTCCTTCACCTCACTATAGCGCTGTTTTCTGCACAACAAGAACAATCTGGGAATCACAGAAGTCTGCTCAGGTAAGGAACAAAGGCATTGTATTTTTTTACTCTTATATAATTTACATTCTGATTTGCTTGTTTTTGCATAATCTGTATACTGCTCTACATGTAGGCCTATGTAATGCATTAAGAGCCTCTCTCCAATTATGATAGAACTTTTAATTACCCTTATATTTAAAAAGAAAAAAATCTTTAAATATTTTCTAGAACCTTTTAGGGGTTTCTATCATGGGACTTTTTTATATAAAATTGTATAAACATACCTTCTAACTAAAATAAATGTTGAACATGAAAGCTGAATGTGATAGTTTAACACATTTCTCCTTATAACCTTTTTGGCATAAAGTGTTCTTTAAAATTTAGTCAAGAACCCTATAGGGTTCTATAGAACCCCATTTAACCTTTTTTGTAGATATTAATAACAAATATGATTGTACTATAGTTCTATAATTAACCATTTTATTATTTAATATTGTATTAATATTTATAATATGTATTGCATTATCAATATGTATAACTAATTCTATATTATTACAACTATCAATGATGGATTTTTATTTATATTTAATACTATATAATGATTATTATTTATAATAAGCAATATGTCATATAAGTATTTATAAACAATATTATATTTTCATAATACCGTTTGATAATATTATTGTTTGTTAATTGCTTTTCACCCAAAATCTTTAATTCTGTTATCATTTACTCGCCCTCAAGTTGTTCCAAACCTGTATGTATGTCTTTCTTCTGCTGAACACAAAGGAAGATATTTTGAAGAATGTCAGTAATAGGGCACCATTGATTTCCATGGTATGGGAAAAAAATATATATTATGAAAGTCAATGGTGCCCAAAAACTGTTTGTAAGGGTGAGGAAATGATGACATTTTCATTTTTGGGCGAACTATCCCTTTAAGGCTGATTCCTTGACTCCTCTGTTTTACAGATATAATGAAGATGACGTCCTGCATGTCTCTTGGTCTGTTGCTGCTGTGTGTCTGGTGGAGTGACACTCAGCCTGTTCACACTGACACTGTCAGAGAGGTGAGGGAACTTGTGTTCTGATTTCTCAAGTAGAGTCATTTAGTCCTAAACATGAGAAATGGCTCATTGGTGAGTTTTGTTTGAACTGCTGCTTGTGTGGGTGCTGTTAGATGATCGAGCTCCTCCGAGCGATGACTGCAGGGAATGAGCAGGAAGGACAGGACACAGAGCTGATGGGCTCTCCTGAGGTTCTCTGGCCTAATACTGAAGATTTGGACAAGAGAGACCTTCCACGTCTAGGAGTGTCAATACATAGAGCCTTACCATCAAGAGTCCACAGCAGGTAATCAAACAACCACTGATCTGTTGTAATACATTTTATATGAATAATATACACTCAGAAGAAATGGTTCTATTTTGAACTAGAAATGGTTCCATCCCCCGCTTCATATGTGGAACTCCAAAATGGTTCTATATAGAACCTTTTTTTTTTGGTAAAAGGTTCTATTGGCCAAGTATGGAACCCCAGGCTTCTATATAGAACCCAGAGGAACCCTTTTTTTAAGCGTTTATAGAAACTTTTAGGGGTCCAAATACGTAGCGCTGATAGAACCTTCTTCTAAGAGTGTAAAAGTGGCAAGTGTAACACATATAATAGAGTCTTTGGCTTGTATTTTCTTTTTTGTGTGTGTTCAGTAAGTCCGTTGAGGCACCTCGATACCGGTTGTCCTCCCCAGCTAAGTGGATGTCCAGCCTCCAAGGTTGAAGAATAGTTTGGAGGAATTAATTTGGTTCACACTCAAATCTCATCTGCATACATGCTCTCTGTATAAAGAACTCATTGTAAGACGGGAAATAAAAGGAGCTGCAAAATGTACAAACGTGAACTTTAAATTTTATAGGGATACTCCACCCAAATATGAAAGTTCTGTCATCATTTACTCACCCTCAAGTTGTTGCAAACCTCTATCAGTTTCTTTCTTCTGAACACAAAGGAAGTTATTTTGAAGAACGATTGGAACTTTTGACTTCCATAATATTTATTTTTTCTACTATGGAAGTCAATGGTGCCAAACCACTGTTTGGTTTCAATCGTTCTTCAAAATATCTTCCTTTGTGCTCAGCAGAAGAAAGGAACTCATAAAGGTTTGCAACAACTTGAGGGTGCGTAAATGATGACAGAATTTTCATTTTTGGGTGGAGTATCCCTTTAAAAATAGGAAGAACATAATGGACTCTGGACAAAGAATGGAGGCTTTTTATTATTTTATTTTTGCATTTATTTAGAGTTATATGTTTTAAAACACTCAGCTGTGTTCTCTTCTATGCCATTGGCTCTGATTCCAAATATTCCAGCATTAAAAGCTGAAGATATGTAGAAAAACGTTCCCAGCTATTTGACATGTTAGAGGTTTACAACTGTTTCGCGCATTTGTTTGTAACTGTATATCCTGTATGATTGTTGTACCGTAGTATCCATAAAAGCCCTGTCGCTCAGTTTAGTATGTTATCAATGGCTCAAACACAGTATTTCCAGAAGCAGTCTGCATTGCCACCTCTCTTCCTGAACTGTCTCCTGCTTCCCCACAGTCCGCTGGGAGGGGCGAGGCGATACGGTTTTTCTGACAGAAACTTGGGAGAAAGATGTTGGTCACATATTTGCATGTAAATGTAATATAACATGAACACAGCATTATTTACAAGCTGTGAGACTTATTTCCTTTACCTCTCGTAGAGCATCTTTGGGAATCTGTCCAGACAGTTTGGTACCTGTGAAAGGAACAGTATGAGCATTTGTTTTTCATCTTCTGTAACATTGAAAGATAGCAAACGTCTGTGTGAGATGAGTGAGTCTCACTCTCTCTGCTGAGCTGTGGGGGATATCCCACGACTGCTGCCCTCTGCAGGAGATCATTGAGATCAGAGACGGTGAGATCATCTGGGCTGATGACTCCGGCTAACTCCACTGAATCTAGAAGAGCGACCAGACACAGCAGATTTTGCATGTATTGCATATCCAAAATTATGTTTCCTTTTTGGGTCACACTTTATAGAAGGTGCCTTAAAGTACTACTTGCATCAAAAAAATAGTTGGGTATGTACTTATTATTGTGTTCATGGTGTGTTGTGAAGCACTTTTGCTGCCCTTGAGGTTGGATATAGTTACGGATAGAGACAGGTTTGGTGGTATATGTAGGTTTAAGTGGTAGTGAAAGGATCATCAGTGTAATGATAGATCAGTTTACAGAAACTAATTACAGCTGTGATTGGATGCAGGTATTTAAAAAAAAAAAGCACAATGTAAAACGTACAAGTAGCCTACTTTGTATCAAATGATTAATATACATATAATATATAATTATAAGATATATATATATATATATATATATATATATATATTAGCTATATATATATATATTAAGCTATAATATATATACATATTATAAGCTATAATATATATATATATACTTTTACTTACTTTAATATATATAAAGTAGTCTTACTTTTATATATATATATATATATATATATATATAAAGTAAGACCCTAATCTGAGTTAAATGTGACTATTCTGAGAATGCCGCAGACCAGACAAAACCAATGTTAACTGTATTAATCATCAAAATAATGCATCAAAAATACATCCAAAAAATTGGATGTGTGGAAATTTACATCAAGCTATAGGCTATATATATATAGGCTATATATATATATATATATATATATATATATATATAGGCCTATATATATATATATATATATATATATGCTTTTTAAATTACCTATTTAAAAATTTCTTTATGATTTTATTATGCTTAGTTGAATTTTATTTAATACAGTTAAGATTGGTTTTGTCCACTGTGCCTTTGACACCGCAAGCGGTGCCAAACGCACACACACATACTTTGTATATGTCTAGAGAGAGAGATTCTTTAACATCCATAAATATATGAGGGAAAAATATGCCCTTCTGAAACGGTGTGTGAATGCACTCACCAAGGCCACTGTAAGTCCTGTCAGCTGTGTCTGTAACGGGATGTGCCAGCAGACGACTGCAGGACAGCAGGAGGACAGAGCAGGACAGAAGCAGGTTACAGATCATCTCTGCAGCAGGATAAGGTCCTCAAGGTCAGCCTTTGGTGAGTGGATGGATGGTCTCTTATCTTATATACTCCACTCTTCCCATAATGAATGCAATGTTTTTATTGATAGTCTTATTTTAAAATGTGAATCCTGTTTAGTTAATATGTTAATATGCGGCAGATCCACAGTGACTTCATCACTTTTGAATCACATTGGCCTGTTTTACTGAATTTGTAAATTGGGGAACACAGGTGCGCAAATGTCCGTCTATGACCGGGATGATTTTATGAATATGTCAGCTGTCTTATTTAGCCCATGAATCTAGTCCTTTCACATTGAAAAGGATGAAACTATATCTCTTTAAATTCACAATGAAGGTTGGTAAACTGATGCATAGGAAAAACGGTTTTATTGGGGATTCAGACAGCCACACGGATGCTAATGACTTTGTCAATCAATGAGGGTAATAAAAAAATGAAGCTCAAGAGCAGCAGGGATATAAACTCCAGACTACCCATCTGCTGAGGAGAGGATGACATTTGTTTATCACCCACTGGAAACTTCTTATTAGTGACACACATTTGACATTTACAAAACGTGGAGTATAATCAGACAGAGCAGACTGTTGAAATAAAGAGCCATTTTAAAAGATGTATGACACTCACAGTCTGTTGATTTTCATTGGCTTTGATTGTGAGTTTGATCTTATGAGGAATTTGTTTGAATGAATTTGCTCTCAACATTAACAATACACATGATATACTGGAGAAGAAAAAAAATCTTAGTATATTTGTCCTTTTCTACAAATAAAAACATTGCTAAATCAATATAGCCTAGAAGCTAAATGACGTACAATATTAAGATTTAGTCAAGTTTTTTTTTTTTCCTGACCTTTTTTTCTTGTTTTAAGCATATTTTTTTTTCAGTTTATTCAAGACATAATACCATAAGCAATTTTCTTCTCGAGTAAATGCATCTTGATTTATTAATGTTAAATTTAGAGTGGAAAACAAGGCAAAAAATAAGAAAATAAATATAGTGGAGAAAATTAACCACAAGGATTATCTTGGATATTTTGCCTATTTTGCAATATATAATGTAGGAATACAATGCACAAAACATTTATTATATCTTGTTTATGTTTGCTGAACAGCAGATGTGTCAGGAAGAGACAAGGAAAGGTTTTCTTTCAAGAATCCATGAAGATTTTTTAAGACTCGAACGTCAGTAGAGGTCTCTTAGAAACACTTTTTAATAGAGTAAAATAAGCATTTATTATTATAATAGCTTCAACTTTCTGTGCAGTTTGTAAAATCAATACATATTTCAGATCTAAGGAAATTTTAAAAGGTGAACAGGGCATCAAAGTTTTTTTCATTTGTATTTATATATTTTTTTTATTATATTTTTTATTTTTATTTTTGATTATTTGATGTGATTGATTGGATGAACCAGTGTGATGTAATGGAGGGAGGGAGCGTGCAGAAGTTTGTCCGCGCTGGCTTCCCATCCCTGTGGACGCTTCGTGCCATTGTCTCGTTGTCAAAAACAGTCTGCCTGTTCGGAAACTTAGCTGGGTAATTATAGTTCAGGCTTTTTTCAAAAACTGCCAAATTTCGCAGAAACTGCTCAAGAAATTAGACTTTTTCTAGTGGCCCTCGTATGCAACAAGTAGTTGAACATAAAAAGAGCGTTTGTAGAGGAGTGAAGAGGTAAGAGACTGTGTTTGGCGTGTGTTGTTAATCGTGTTTTCTGTGTTTGATGTTTGTGTGATGAATCATTGAGGTGAAAAACGTGAGGAATGTAAACTTCGGTCTTCCCCACTCTGTCCTCATTCATTTCAGTTCTACCGGTTTGGTGTCTTTTTCTCTCTCTATTTGTAGTTTCGCTTTGTTTAGTTTCAGAGCGCTTTTGCATTAGTATACTGCTGTCGCGTGCTTTGTCCTTTTTTATGTTTTCTGTCAATGTGTAGCAAAACACAGTCGATACTCGTATCTTTTGACCCTAAATTTGAACCAGCTTTTAATCAGCCATAGTGTTTTAGATTATAGACTCGATTTACATTTAGTTTCCATGTGTTTACTTTCTAAAATACCTTATATATTAATTTTACAGGTGATTTATTGGAATGGCTTATTTTACTTTCATTCTTTTTTTATTTTATTGAGATTTCTTAAGGCAATAAATGTATTATTTAAAAAAATAATTCACAAATATTTTTCTTAAGGCAACCACCTATTCTGGTTATTTATAGGTGCTTACATGTGATTTCTCAAGAGAAAGTCTTGTTTATAAATAGTATTTGTATTTCAAGTATACTATTATAAATAATTATACATCCATCTATTTTTTTTTTGTTGATAAAATATTTAACTTGTTCTGTAACATGAATATTTTATCAGCTTTTTTCGAAAAGCTCTTGCCAAAGCTCATTCTTTGCAGTGAATTATGACTCTAGATGCATGTCTCATAAGTAATTGTATTTAATGAGCAAGTTCTGAACTGTCTATCTGTTGGGACACTCACAGTGACCAAATAAACTAGTTTGGCCCTGTCAGTTGAGCACTAACCAAAGTCTGTCTTTCATGAGAATAGGTGTTGCTGAATGGCATGAGTTGTTGAGCAGTGTCAGTAGTCATGGCCGAGCTGGAGGTGGATCAGTCCAACCTGCCCAGAATCCAGGAGGGTAAGACCTGTCAGACATGCACACGTTGCTTGTGGTTTTGACTCTGTGTACATTGCAGACCTTTTCATTTAAGAAGAGTTGTATGATACACATCATGTGTATACTTGATGTGTGTGTCACATCCTTCTGTGGACTCTTGATTGTTGATTCCCGCTCTGATTTCCAGATGTCATATTCAAAGAAATGCATGCTCTATACTGATAAGTCTGAGATCTGATTAACATTCCAGACATCTGCTCTATATCTGGGGAAGCAAAAAAAAGCTGTCTACCTTCCACTGGTGAAAGAATGTTTCCACATGGCCATGTTTGCTCAAGTATTATCTCTTAGGTATATCCTGTATTTTGATATTGACCCACTGCTTCTTCTGAAGGGGGAAATGTTTCTGATGATTTTCTTTTCCGTTCCCATTCTGTACACAATGCTTTTATTGTTTTGCTTTGTTTTTTCACGCTTAAACAAGCACTGGCTGTTAAACAAAGACCCTATTAGACCACCATGTTGTCACCCAATTAACTAATGTCTAGGCTTTTGTAGATATGTACAGTACTTACGTTGCCATGTTTCTTTCACGTTGGGTTATATCCTTTTTTACATGGCCTGTGAGCAACTATGTTTTCATTTCCCCAGTTTGTTTTCAGTATAGTTCACCATAACATTGTGTAATACATATATCATAGTGAGTTCTCTTTGTCTTCACTCTTCTGTTATGAGTTCCCGTGGATGTGTTTTAGCTCTGGTTGTTCTCTTGACCTAGTCTTGGGAATGTTGTCTCTATAAACCAGTTCCCTTGAGAAAAAGCAGCCTCTTTCCTCTCTGCACTTTAACCCCTTTGCATCCCTCACTCCCTGCTTTCAATGGCCTTTGTCCTATTTATGCTGTGAAACCTCTGCCCAGTGGTACACTTCATACCACCGTTTAAATATTTGGTATCAGTAAAAATTAATTTTCTGAAATAAATTAATTCTTTTATTTAGCAAGGAGTCAGGACCCATTAAACTGAAAATAGCGTTGCCGTTTTTGATCAAGCACAGCCTCGGTGAAATAGACTGATCCATCTCAGACTTCCTTTCTCCACTCACTGGTCTGTCAAGCTCTTTTTTGTTTTGTTTCGTCCCAGTGTTGTCTGTCTGTAACTGATGACGGCTGTATCTTTTAAGGTGGTTTAGCAATTTACACACTTGTGTCAAAAATCTTGTTTCATATATGCTTTCAAACATAGATTTGTCTTTGTAATATGATCATGTTTTTTTTGGCTCTGCTTCTGCAAAACTAGTTGGACAACTTTATGTCCACACCCTCTTGCCTGCCAATCCACCAAGCGTCCCAATCTGACACCTGAACGCTGAGGTCAGAAGCGGGCCTGTAGGCTCAAATCCCTCCTCCTGAAATGAGAGGAGTGTATGCAGAGCAGGTTAGCAGGTGCTTAAGCTGTCGAGAAGACTTTCTAAGTGGAGTTTAACACAGGTGTACAGCTTCTCCTTCCTCTATTGGAAAAAAATGTATGATCCTTTCAGCGTGTGAATCTGTAAGTGTTTTATTTTTATTTTGTTGACTGCATGTTCAGAGATATAAACCTAAGAACTCTTGCTGTTGTTGGTGGGCCTGTAGATGAAGATGAGTAGAAATCCCCAGCATTGCCTATGCCTAATCTGTAGGTTGATAAATCTTATCAGTTTAGGGGTAGTTTGAAGGATGATCAGTGTTTAGAAAGGAGACCAATACGTTTTCATGAGCAAACCTTATCAACGTAGTAAATCTTATTGTCAGTAGTTCATTCTGTTGTCCTTGTGTTATCAGGATTGTTTTGACTGAAGGAATCAGACCAGATGTTTTTAATAATTGGCTGTAGGTGTATTTACTTGGCTAGCATAAGCTTCACATATCTTTTGCTGTCTTATGCTTCCTGAGAACAGTAGCTATGATTACATGCATATATATTTAATTTTCTAGACTGATAGCTCAATCATTTCCCAATATATTTAATGTACCTCAGTCTGAAATATAGATGGAGATTGATCCAAATTGAATCGATTGACGTAGGATCTTGCATAATTTGTGAAATGTGAGAATAATTATTGTATACTGTTCAAAAGTTTGGGCAACTGTTTTTGAAAGAAGTCTCTTGTGCTTACCAAGGCTGAAAATGGTAATATTGTGGACTTTTTTTTTTTTTTTTCAGGACTTTTTTACTGACTTGTGAACAGTAGTGTACAGCTTAAAATATAGTTATCATCAAGTATAAAAAAATATGCATTAGTAAACTTATCAACATGAAAATGCTTATTTGCATCATTTTAAATATATTAAAAAGAAAAAACTCCAGTTTTGTACTAACTGCTTATTTTTAAGCTTCTCACTGTAACATAAAGGCCATATCATGCATTTTGTTCTCAATAAATGAAATGCAGATACTGTAGATGTTTTCATTGGATTTCAGTGAATTCAAAGTCTGTAATCAGATTGAAAGGTTTCAGATGCAGACATCGATTCAGATTCTGATGCCCTATCCTTACATAAACACATACAATATACAGTATATATGGATTCACAAACATTTTTGCAGTGTAATTCTCTTTATGTTTCTTGTCAAGTTCCAGTTCTATTCATGCCCTGTCCCCAGGCAGAAAGTATATTGGCTGCTGGTCAAAACAAACCAGCTACTGAGTCTTCAGAGCCCGACATTAACGCCACCAATCTCACTATCCTTCTGCTCAGCTTAATGTATCTTTTCTGATGCTGGCACATCTGGAAAAACCATTCTTTCTGTGTGCAGGCGTATGTGTGTGCGCTCTGAGTGGATGGATGTGTGAGGGCATTGTTGGGAGGTGCTTGTGTGACCTGATATGGGTTATCGCAATATGCAGCAGGTGGGCTCAAGCAGGAAATACATTTTTCTTTGGATACCCAAACGGTTGCAGTTAAACTTAGGATACCCCACAGTTGGATTATTTTTCTCTGCTCACATTTTTAGGCGGTCGCTAGTTTTGGTAGGTTTCACCCCACCAGACAGGATGGCTGGGCCTCACAGCTATACATAGATTTCCACCAGCTGCTCAGGTCAGAGGTTGTGCTGAAGTCAGGATGTCTCCATTAGGATATTATGTTCATGCTACTCTAATTCAGCATAATTGCCCTGAAGAAAAATCAGATGTAGTGTCATTTATGTGTTTCAGGCTTTTGAGTGTGAATCCAGCAGTTGCGTTGATAAAAGATTTAGCAAAACGCTCCTCTTGTTTTTTTCTTTCTTTTTACTGCTCTCAGGGTCTGTAATGTTCACCGCTCTGACCGCAGGTCCAGCTCTAGCGCTACAGACTCCAGCTGTTGTGTCAATTACAGACTGTATGTTCCCCTCAGAAACTCTCTGCGGCTCTGCCGACTTGTATATCCCTGAATTTGAGGTTGCTTTTGACTAAATTTGTATTTTGCTTACATGGTTTGTGGATATCCTGACTGAGGGGCGGCACACACAGCGTGGTTGTTGAAGTTTTTTTTGCCATAAGCATAGTTATGAGAGCCATTTATGTGTTAGTTTGGTAACAACAATGACACTGAGTTAATCTACACTACTCAACGTTCACCACAACATGTAGCACAAGCTATGTCGAATTTTCTGTAACTCCTTGAGGGATTCTGCAATGTCATGTCAGTAAATGCAGAACACTGTATTGAGCGTTTTTAGTTTCACTGAATAGAGTGGGCATCCCAAGGGATAATTAAGAAAATGGCAATGCACAAAAAAATCAATGTGATTAATCAGTCAAATCATCAAAATTATTAAAAATTAAAGAGATTTGAGGAGTCAACCTAGTGTTTATTTAACTTATCCAAAAGATCTTTTATGCTCAGCTTTCATATACAGTATATATTTTATGTAAATATAGAACAGCTTGAAAGACAGTCAAGAGCTGTACTTTTCAGTTCACATGATAATTCGTTAAATTTAGAGTTTACTGTCTGGGACTCAATGCTTTTGCTTCTTGTGAATTTCTTTAATGTTCCAGGTTCTGTTGAACTTGACAGCATCAAAATCCTGCTGATTACCACCGAAAATAATGCATGCCTAGATCTTTATCACCTAGAACATTAGTACTACCGCTAAAAGAGCTATTCAGACCATTTTCAAGGTCAAATAATGAAAAGGCTGAGCTCAATCTTCATATTTCTGCTTTCAAAATCTGAAATGCTTTGCCCCATAGAAATTACTTTGGTTTTGCAAACTGAGAAATTATTTTCAACACGGATTCCTTTGAATTTTTTTCCTACAGCAGCTAGAGTCTCCCTGTGATGTCAGTTATTTTAACACAGGGTTTAAAATGAAATGTGACCCTTACAGGACCAAAACCACAAGTGTAATTTTGTTTTGAACTTTCCTGGGTCCGTTTTTGTCATGGAGACTGTTATTATGGCTTTATGAAATATGAGTGTCTCCTTTTTAAACTTAGTGTATAAAGAATTTGAGACTTTTTTAAAATTGTTTTGAAATATGACACTTTTAAATGAACCTTTGAATTAGTTTACTAAAAGTGACCGCTAAAGACATGAAATAACACTGCATAGTCTCTGAACACATTTCCAAGTCTGTCACATTTTCTTTGACAAAGACTCCAGTTACAGCCTTGAATGTTTTAAATGCAAAAGATACTATACTTTTAAAATCTAAGAAATAAAGTTCAGCACTCAGCATCTCCTGATGTTGGTTCATGTTTCTGCAGTTGTATTGAGTGTTGTTTCTGTCTGCAGTGTGCCAGTGTTTTGCTGTACTGGAAGATGGAGCTCTAGCTCATAACCTGCAGGAACAGGAAAGTAAGACCCGTTCTCTTATTTCATCCGCCACACCTAAAGGATTTTAAAGCAAGCTTATTTTCTCAGTCTTCACTTTCATCCATCTTTTGTAAACTTCTAAAGAGGGCTGGTGTTCACCCTCCTCGAATCCAAGGGCGTAGCTGTAAATAAGATCTGTGAGTCAATGAGAACATGTGAGTCAATCTACATGTTTAATTAAAATATCCTGCTTGTTCAGACAAGATAGTTTAGTTTTAGATTGTTCTCTATGCAGCCGTTTACAGAGGTAGACTAAAATATGAATGCAATTGCCCATCACTAAATGGCATGTAAAAACTAAACAATCTGCTATTGATCAGATTGATTAAGTCTCTTTTTATTGAAACACTCGCATATGTCAAATATTGAGAAATCATTTAAAAGTTTAAATATCCTGATATACAATACTGTCTAAAAGTTTGGCTCGGTAAGATGTTTAAAAGTCTAATCGTCACCAAGGATGCACTTATTTGATCAAAAACACAGGGAAAACTAATGTTGTAAATATACGAAAAAAATGTGAAACTTGAAATATATTTAAAATTGGTATTTATTCCTATGATGGCAAAGCTGAATTTTCAGCATCATTACTCCTGTCTTCAGTGTCACATGATCCTTCAGAAATCATTTTTTAATATGTTGATTTGGTGCTCAAGAAAATGTTTCTTATTGTTATCAATTTTGTAAACAGTTGTTCTGCTTAATATTTTTGTGGAAACTTAAAGAACAGCAATCTTTTGAAACATCATAAACGTCTTTACTGTCACTTTTGATTAATGTAATGCATCCTTGCTATATAAAAGAAATAAAAAGTATTAATCCCAAAACTTGAACTGTAGTGTATCTTCCGCATGCTTTTCTGTAACATTATTTGCATGCTGTCTCCAACAGTTGAGCAGTATTACACCTCAAATGTGCAGAGGAGTCAGCTGGTGCAGAGGGACATCAGAGTAGCCAAGAGACTCCAGGATGAGGAGGTGCAGACAGCTCAGATGCTTCAGCAACAGGCCCCTCGCCAGCTGTAAGATTACACACACACACACTGTCAGAGACCTCTATCAGATAGGACACTGTGTGTATTCAATGTTATTTACTGTATATGAGCAGTTCAGCTGATAGCATGTCCAAAGTCCACCACTGTCCCATAGTGTGACAGTCTGTGCTTCCTTCTTACATTAAGGAAACAGACATGTTTTTTCAGTTGTTAATTTTCATTATTTCAATAATAAAATAAAATAAAAATTTCAATAAAAAAATGTGTTTGTTTTTTTTTCTCTTAGGGAGGAACGGGATTCGCAATACGCACAAATGATTCAGGAGGAGATCCAGCGGCGTGCGGAGGAGGCTCTAAGAAGGGAGGTGGAGGACGAGGTGTGTAACACACTTCAGGCTCAGTAAACTTCACTCCTGTTTTTCATTTACACCTCTGAACTGCTTTGTCTGAGGCATCAAATGGATCAATAGTTAATGAGTCACTGTGGGACGCCAGTAAGCTGATTTATTCAGCTAGTCTCATGTGGAGTGTAAGTGCTGGCAAAGACCACACAGGAATGAACATCAAGCTGCTATAAAGCAAAAGTCACACTCAAAACTGTGCATTAATCAAATCCAGATGCATTGAACTTCAGCCCACCTTTTTTATAAGCCCCCCTAAGGGACATAAAAAGAAGTCTTCTTGTTCAGTGAGTCGTGGGCAAAAAAGCTGAGTGTGGAAATTTTCTCCAGAAATAAAAGGAAACCTATATGGATTTGCAGCTTTTCTTGGTGAGGTTCCATACATGTTGTTTCAGGTTTTTGTGTTGAAGGTGGTGTGGCATAGTGGTTAAAAAGCTTGCAGATTCAGACCCTGCAGGTGACCTTGTAATATTGTACTTCTAGTTGTTTACCATCAGCTAAATCTTAAAACTCAAAGTTAATAGAAATATGAAATCTAAGTTTCTGTTTATCTGATTTACAGTAAGGAACTTAAAATAGATTCGGGGAAACAGATAAATTAAAATACACCGTTTATAAGGTGTAGCTAAAAGACTGAAACAGAGTTTGTTAAAATGAGAAGTGTGAAAAATGTTTAAGTCACGTCTAATATTTCACCTCCTTGAGCATGTACAACTAAACCAGTGTTACTCAACCATGGGTGACTTAAAAATATTTAGATTAATAATTTATTTTATTATTAATATGTTAAGTTTTTTCGTTTATTATTGATATATTCAAATAACGAAACAAAAAAATAATAATCATGTGAACTAGAGTTATATAATAACTTCTGTTCTTTTTGTAAGATAACAGTTCTTAATTTCTGGAATCACAAAATGAGTCATGGATGATAAATGTATTATATTGTTGTATCCATGCTCCCAGTTTCTGTAAAGATATATAGTCTGAAAACAAGCAGCTTTTTCATAATTACAGCAGAAATATCAGGCATATTGTTGCCTATAAAGGAATATTGTATTGGACAACGGGGGCGTTTAAGTCAAAACGGTTGAGAACCATGGCAATAAACAGAAAATGTCTGTCTTAACCATTTTGCACAAATTCATAGATGAGAGAAATTATTCATGATTTAAACTAGAACAGAGTTAAATGTCTGTGAGAAATTAAACATGTAGCAACAAAGTCCTTTGAATCTGGCTGGAAAAATGTATAGTTCAACACAAATGCTTGTTCAGCTTTTATTTTCTCTCTCGAATTATGGTGCAGTGAACCTTGATTAAGGAGTCTTTTGTTCAGAGTTGTTTGAAGACATACAGCATGTGAGGTTTACTGTGGAAATCAAAGCATAAGTGTTTTTGGGAGGATCTTGGGAGTTGGAGAGTTCTGTGTGATTTAGATGGAAAAGCTGGAAATTGTTGGCTCAGCAGGTAGAAAAATTGAGTCAGAGAACACTGGCATATCAAGCAATTAGATCCTGACCACCTACTACCATTTACAGGTGATCTCAGAGATGTGGATTCCAGATTTATCTGAGTCAACGTCCCTGTGAGGCCTTTTAAAAAAACAGTCCAATCATTTGACTAATTCTCAACGATAATTATGGGCATTTAAGATATTTTATTCCTGCAGGTATTTTCAGACTCATGAATCATGTCTTGGCCTACCAGCTGCACATTTTAGCCTTGTTTTGCAGTAAATAAATCTAAACATCCTTAAACATGAATTAAAAGTAATCATTTTCAGAGAATAGATGTTGAATACAAATTTCATTCAATTTGTATTTTTATATGGTTAAAAAAAAATTAGGATAAACCTCTGTAAATTTTATACTTGAAGCAAGGAAAAACTTTCCAGATATATTATCTGAAAATACATTTCACAGTTTTGCTTTTATATATACGTTACTGTGAAAACGCAACTGTTAACTGTGACTTTGCATTGTTAATTAAAAGTATATAAAATATCATTTAATTTATACTTGCAGGTTGTTTTCAAACCCGAGTGGCATCTTTTGAACTTATAGGCCTCCCATATTGCAGTAAATGTCATTCCACTGCATTAATTATCAATATTTACACCCCTGCTGCCCTGTATTAATTAAAGCCTTTGAGGCACCAGGTCACATCTAAACATCATCTCCACACACTGCTGTGGACCCTGCTGTCCTATCAGGCTCATACAGGAGCACAGAAGAGTAATGTCAAACATAATTCTCACCCAGCCATTCTAATTGTTGTGTACACAAGCAAAGCACATCTGTTGGGATGATTTCTTAAGAGTCCAGGTACCAGATAAGCTTTGAGTCAGACCCCTAGAGACAGGATCTGGTCCCTGTGTGGGGCACAATCTCTCAGCCCAGGACAGTGGAGTTAATTCGGTTAGTGCTGTGAAGTAAGAAATGTCAGTCTTAAAGGTTAAGGACATCAGGACCTGATGACAACAGACATAGAGAGACTCCACTAAGGAGGTTAACATGATTTAATGCTAAGGACCCCTAGAAGAATTGCTTTTAAGGACTCCTTACTAAAATTATTAAAGGTGAATTTTTTTTATGTGTGTGTGGAATAATATTAAATATGGTATAATACAGACAGCATGTTGTTTCCAAAATTAAATGACTGGCTATTTTGTCATTGTCTAAAGGCAAAGTGCTTCAAAATAATTTCTTGATAATATTTAAATTGAAGTTAATAGCATGAAGCCTTTTTTTCACTATATTAGTTTTTAGTTCTTCCTATTAGAAAAATCATGAAACATTAAAAACTCACAATTAATATCATCAGTCCAAAGCGTATTATTAAAACTCAATGTCAATTCTTTTTATTTTCTCTAAAGATATTCCACAGGCGCCTTAGCACAACCTTGTGGTTAATTTGAGTAAGAAACCCTGACCTATACCACTTCACTCTTCACTTTTCACTTACTGTTCTCACGTTTTCTCAGACAAACCTTGAAGAAATTTGTTATAAATAATCCGTCTTCTGAAGTCTTGCATTTGTTTCATTCATGTTTATGTATTTACAGCATTTGAATCCAAGTTCAGATTTTTAGCTCATTGTAAGTTTTATGATTGTTGAAATGAACCTGTAGTTTTGTCAATGAGAGCAAACTCTGGCATCTTTTGGTCAAGTCCTGTAAATCTCTGTCATATTCAGGGTATTGTCACATTTATAGCTGTTTTTGCAAGATTTGAAAGGACTTGCATCTTATAGCATTGTTAGAAATAACCAAGTGTGATGACAGTAGTGACTTACAAGCATATAAAAATGTTAGTGATGCTTTTTTTGCAGAAATTATAGTTTGTTACTTTATTATAAAATGTGTATGTATTTGGTCTTTATTTACATGATGGTAGTCATGTTATAAGATAAGATCACGTCAATGTGGTAAACATACTGTAATTGCTTAAGTTTAGATCCTTTTTGATGGTAAATTGTCAGTGGAAACTTCTGAGTCATTGTGGTCAGTGGTGCGATAAAATGTGGCCTCTGCTTCACAGTTTTGTTGCAAGCCGAGCGTGTGCCTGTTTGAAGATTCTGCATGGTGGGCTTTTTGCTTTAAGAACAGGCAGGTCTTTAGGCCTTTATACGTAAGCATGGAAATTCCCCTCTGTTGACGTACACCATCTTCACCAGTGTCAGTCTTGAATACGTGGGCGGATACAGTATATTTTTGTTAGAAGACCCACACTTTGGGTTTCACCTCAATGTGTCATCATCACTGAACGTTTTGACGTGCCAGTACAGCAGAGCACAGTAGCACTGGCAGTTTTGTAGCACTGGCCACACAATTGTATCACAAGAATAAAATGTCTGTTATTTTATTTGAAAACGACCACCACAAGTAGTGCAGTTTATCACAGGCATGTGACTGATAAAGGACGTTAATATTCCATACAGGGCACACAAAATACAAACCTTTTACCAGAAATGTTTTCAGACAAACATTTGATTTGCCTAAATGGCAGACTGCAGGAACCTCTTGCTTAACATTAAGTTAATTTTGTTTATATAACAAGATATCACTATAACACAATCCGAACAACATCCATCTGTTTTGGTTGAGCACTTGACTGCTTAATTTTCCTATAAATCATTAGAAAGGTCTAAAGTTTTATTATAAAATATTAAATTAACATGATAAAAATGTGACGTAATTTCTTAATTTTTGTCAGGAAATCTTATGCATCCACTGTGAGAGAAAAAAAACGTCTCTACATCGGAGCAAAAACTAGCTTTGATCTATATCATATGAGAAGTTTTGACTGATAAAACATGACCATAAACACAACAATATATGATTTATCTGTGGTGTTATAGAAATCTTGGATATTTTCATAGGAATAAAGTATATGTAATGTTCATAGTAAGGAAATTTCTTTTGAAATTCAAATAACATTAAATATTATATAGAATAATATAGTTTCTGCCTCATTCTATGATACGAAGCCTTGTCAGATCACACAATAAAATTATTTCAAACACTCGATTCTATTGGCGTTATGTAGTTTGGAGTGAAAAACATTGAATGTTCTTTAGTTGGACAACACGTTTGTAAACGCTTCTTATTACAGAAAGATATTCGGCACTTGTTGCTTTTTTGGATTAGTACTTTTTTCCCCCACTATAATCTGCAGCCATACTTTACAGGCTTTACAAATTTTCTGTATTTATTAAAATCTTGTTAAACCACAACAGATCCCATTGAACATTATTATCTGTAATAATTAAGTTGGGTTTTATTTTTTGTTTTTAGGAAATTGCAAGAAGGATACAGGAAGAGGAAGAGCTTTGTGAGAGACACAGGAGCAGATACCAAAATAAGGATGGTAATAACAAAATTCAGTTATTGGAGTGTTTTTATAAAATAGGTTGGTCAGGTATACTTGAGCCGCTCTTTTGCGTCAAGCAGGCTCACGTTCTGTTCACACTTACAGTGTTTCTGTTGTGCAATAGAGCGGCGCTTTTGTATAGAATTAGAAAATCAAGTGATTCATGCATTTTATTGATTATAAGACATGTGAAATCTGATTTACTGTCTTAAAGGTGCTATCAGCGATTTCAGGCCCAACCATAAATATTCACATTCATCTAATCTTTCCTAACGATCCGCTAGCTACCCGCTCCATAAGCAGGCCATCCAAAAACCGCGTCTCTGTAGGTCAATCACCCAAAAAATACCATCATGGTTATTCAAAGACACGAATAGTGATCGGGAAGGCTTTTGGAAGGTGGAAAGAATTGAATTGAAGAATTTAAAATTGGATGTTTCTTCTTGACAGGTGAGTAGCCGCTAATGCTGAATTTTTTGGGATGTGAACTGTGTGTGAAAATATCCTTCTTAAAAAAAAAAAAAAAAAAGTAAAGCTCGACTAGACTTGGGTAACTTTGGCTAACGTAGGCGACATTATGCTGAACATATATTATTTTAGGGATCTCACTTCAAAAACAAAGAGAAGTAATGTCACCTCGCTGATAGCACCTGATCTTGTCACATGCATATACTTTTTTTAGTCAAATGGTTGTTTCCCATATATGCATTTGATGTTCAGTAATGTGACACCTTAGCATCTTTTAATTTCATCCCCAAAGAGTAGTCCATCATCTTGGAATATTAAATCTACTAAAATAATACACAAACTTTGTTTCAACATGCAGTGTATTGTTAATGTATCCATCATACTGAATGACGCATATAGCCAGCTGGTCGTCTGCTTTTTAAATCCCACAAGACAAGACATGACTTCATGTGGGATGATGACTATCCCTGAGTAATAATGACCAGTTCAGTCATGTTTGGAATCTTGTTTTTAAAGTTTCTATGGTTACGCCATAACTTTTAATGTCTTGCAATAAAACCTGATTTTCTTTGATGGCCTAAACAGAGTTCGAGGAGAACGTCAAGCTTTCGTGTCTTCAAGTTTGATATAGTTTCCACTTCGTTTCGTGAAATAAGCCTAGTTAAAGGGGTTAGACACCTGTTGCTTTGGACTCAGTGACTTTCATTTTATGGACACAAAATGTTTTTTGTTTTGTTTTTTGACCGAAGATAGTCACACTTTAGTAAAAGTAAATGATGACAGAATATTATTTTGAATTGAATCCAACTATTCCATTGAACTTCTATTGGCGTACTAACAACACCCTGAATCACTCTGAATTCAGTGAAGCCTAATTTTCACATCATGTAATGCATGTTTTAATGTTTCATTTGTCCTTTTTACTTCTAAACATAGCTTCATGAGTTAACTGTTTTATTCTGCATCCACCCGATTTCTAACAATTTGACAAATCCCCTGCTTTGTGTTTGCATGGTTGGTTTCACTAAAGAATCCAAAAGCATTCCTGCTCGTCCATACTCACCCCAGCCTGTTCACGCTCCTCACAACCGGTCTCCAACTAGAAGATGGCAGCTCTCCTCCTCACCCACCTACTCGGACTCTGAGGAGGACCTGATTGAGTACAGTAGGCCTACAGTAATACGGCAGGACAGCAAACCCGCTGTAGGGCAGAGGAAGCTGGTCAGCAGACCTTCCAGAACACATTTAGAGCAGGACGACAGGAGCTTTACCAGCCAGAGCAGCAGCAGCAGATCTTCACGCCTGTCGGGTGGATGGGGTGATGTCATCAAGCTCATAAAGAACGATATGAGCGAGCAAGGCTACCTCAGCCACAGCTCTGAGGATGATCTCTTTGAACCCGTCTATAAACTTGAGAAAATACTGCGACAGAAGCAGCAGGTCTCTAGAAAGAGGCTGAGTCGACACAGCAGTGTGAGGGAGGATCGTAGCAGAACGGGCCAGGGAGATGATTGCGGACGTAGGGAGAGTTTTAGGGAGAGACATGTTCATTTCCCGGATGAACGGAGGAGTAACAGTTTTACGACTAATGAAAATGGTTACAGTGACGCTACGGAAAGAGATCCGTGTTCAACAGGGATATTAAGGGATGATCACACACACCTCAGAGAAACTCAAGGTCTCCAGACTCCAGCTCAAGGGTTTCAACGGAACATTTCAATGAGACGTAGCTACCATGGTAACGTCAGGCGGACATCGGTGCGTGAGGGAAGGAGAACGTGCAGCGCAGATGATTCTAACTTGGCTAGAGCAAGACTCTCAAATAGAGCACCCCAGTTGAGGGAGGTGGAAGTGGAGGATCGTTTGAGGGAGGTGGTGAGAGTCAGAAACACACGGCAGAGAGCTCGATCATTAGCCGAGGATGAAAGGAGGTTAGACATGGACCACAGGCATGGAGAGCGTAGAGTGAGGCGAAGTCAAAGCGAGCGCTGGCAGACCTTTGAGGAAGAAAGATCGAGCAGAGAGGAGATGGAGAGGGAGAGACGGATGCAGAGACACCAGTCTTCCGGAGCAGGTAACCTCTCTCTGAGCTCTGCAGTGCGGCTGAGCCTGTCCCTACATCTGCTCATTGCTTTCCAATCAGTAAACAAGAGCTCCTGTGCATCCCTGTGTCCTTCTGGTGTACAATTTAGGAGTTTAAACCATTTTTGTGTGTGTGATCTGCTTTTTTCAAGCTTAACACCTCCAGATCTCATCCTCATTTCTCAAAAATCTCTCCTACAGCAGCATCAGTTGCTGGGATTTTCTTGCGTTTCTTTTTGATTTGGCTCTTACTTTGTCTCCTTTGAGGTATGTTTCCAGGGATATAATCTACCCTGTAGGATTCCTACTGTTTAATTAATAGGAAATCTACTTACTTTTCTCAGCCAATCCTGTTTTGGGGGGGCCACCTTCCATTAGAGATTAGCTCCAGCCCTAACCAAACACACCTGAGGCTGCATCCCAAAACTAAAAAAATGCTGCATCCCAAGGTAAGGCATCAAGGCACGTTCGAATCCAATTTAGCTTCACTTCCTCTCTCCTGAGATACCTCCATCAGATCGATTTATTTGTTAAGTTTTTGGACGCAGCCAATGTCTTCGGGATTATCAGAAACTTCCAAATGGTTTGTTGGAGCTTAAGTCTGTGGGACAGTGGCCCTCCAGGAGCAGGAATAGACACCCCTGGTCTAGGTTGAAGGTGAAAACCCTGTCTTGTCTCAACATTACCTGGTTTTTGATTCTGCCCTTATTCCCTAACAGGATCTGCTTTTAGGAGTGGAATGGCTGCTCTTAACTTGGGAGAGCTGGAGCAAGTGCTGGAGGATGAGGAGCTGGCCCGCAGGCTTCAGGAAGAGGAGGAGAGATTGGTCGAAGAGGTGAATTCAACTAAAAGTGCAAATATACAATACAGTAAAGTACGGAAGTGGCCAAAAGTGATGTCCGGAGGGGATATTTGGTTTTAATGACTGTACAAGTTTGATTAAACCATCAAAATACGAGGAAAATATTTTAGACTTTTTAATAATGTTTTAAATAGGAGGGAAGAACAGAACACTAAACTTGGTTTAGGTATTTGTCTTACAAAATTAAACTACAGCTACATGTTTTATTCTACTATGCAATGCAAAAAATGCATAGAAAGTGAAAAGGTTTCTGGAAAACGAACATTGACAACAGCATAATCATTTATATTTTGTTTTTCTCTTGCATGTTCATAGTTTGAATGACTGCATGGCCAAAAATGATGTACAATTTTTCAATTAAAACCATTGCCTCCAAGCACAACTACGTTATATGCTTTTGTCCTGTATATACCAGTCAATCCTGCTCCTGGATTGACACTTTCCTGCCAAGTTTAGCTCCAACACGCATGCCTTTTAAGGTTTTTTGTTTAATTAGAGCTGTAGCTAAACTCTCGCAAGATTGGACACCCCTGGTATATACCCCTATTAGTCCCTCAGAAATGAAGTCTTGTAATCCTATCAATGACAGTAGCAAATGTACTCAAAGCATTGTAAGCTGAAGTTGTTTTTTTTTCTCTTTTCACATAGACTCGGCCTGGTTCCTCTCCTCTTAGAAGGGACTGTCCTGTTGGAGACTTCAGAGCGGCACAGGTTGCTCAAGATGAGGTGTGAAGAGGTTGAATGAAAGGGCTGCTTTAATCCCAACGCATGAAAAGTGGGTAATACATTTCTCGTTTTGTGATAGGAAATTGCACGTTTCATGCAGAAACAGGAGATAAAGGCTAAAAGGCGATCTCGTGAGCTGGAGTCTTTTGGACCTGGGTGGGAATACAGGGAGAATGACAGGAGAACAGTGTGTGACAGACAGGTACCACACCTTTAGAGTGATACTATCTTTTGTTATTGTTTTACCGTTTACTCTTTACTAACTAAAAAAGAATTCCAATCCTTTTGCATGACATGACATTTGGAAATTGGTGCTGTTAAACATGCCTTTTGACTTGCTCACATAAATTCATCATGGTGATTCATCAGTATATTGGCACGTTCTTTTAAAATGTTTATCTTTTAAGGGTGACTCACACTAACTCCATATGGAGCCAAATTTAAAAAGAGTGAATCAGCCTTTAGTAGACCTGTTTTTACAAAAGAATTTTGAAGGAATTTTTCTGTTGAACATACAGAGGCGGAGATTGGATTCCGAAGGTCTTCAATCCCCAGTTGATGACCTCATCCCTGGTCACAATTCCATGACCATGTAAGTCACTATTTTCTCGATACTCTTGTATACAGCTTATATACAGCTCATTCAGGACAATCCCTTAATATTCTCTGGTGACGCTAAAGGCAAGCGCAAGCCATCAGGAATATTGCAGAAGAGCTGGACCCCACCTTTCAAAGGAAGGATGCAGCTGAAGCAGGACAAATGAATGGTGCTTTCATTCATTCAAATTACAAAGGGTTTCTACCATAATTCTAAATTGTAACAAAACAATAATTATAAATGGTGTAATTTTCAGGTCCCTGTCTAAATCAAACTTCACAAGTAGGCTTGTACAATCCCTTGGAAGAACCTACATTTGTGCCACCCACAAAACGACAGGGTGACAAACCGGGACAAGCAAAGCCCAAGGAGAAAAAAGAAAATTCCAAACAGAAAGACAACTGCAAGCAGCAGTGATGCTGGACAAATGAACTGCAATAATGAATTCATGACCATTAAAGATATGCATTCATGTCCTGACAGGCTTGGGCTTTCCAGTCTTCTGCTTTCTCGAAGGCTTGTGGAATACTTTTTTTTCAACCAACAAATCAACTTGCAAAATGGGGACACTCCATCCAGATAATGCTGCTATTACTAGTGAACATCTGTCTAGGTCATGTCATGCTTTTTTGGTTTAACTGTTTCATTTTTGTTTAGCAGCTGGTTATACAGTAGGCTGGTGTGTCACCACAGTGGGAAAGCTCCCTCTAATAGTACCTGGCATTAGACATGACTTCTGGGAAAACCAGAATGTTTTGATAAAGGATGTTGACACATGGTTGAGTTAAGCTCTGGAGTTTTCTGTATTAATGGGAATCTATGAAGATATCCAGGTGGGCATTTTTTTAGAATTACTTGGACCTTTTTTTTTTTTTCTTCTTTATTCCAGGAACTACACCAGTCTAAATTTGCCCAAAGTGTTATTTTCATTTCCATTTGTCTCCCTCATGTATGAATGTCTCTTATTGTAAGAAGTTACAATTTGCAAAAACAAATCATGCATTCAGATTGTAAAAATGAAATGTTTACTAATCTTAATAATATTCAGTGGTTTACAAGACTTTTCCGGCTTTGTAGTGTACATCAGCATAGTCTATAGTCTAAGGCTGGAGGAAATGTAACACAACATTTTTGTTCTATTTTTGTACTGATGCTGAGTGTCACTATTATACGTTTCCAATGTATTCAGTACAACAATGTTACATTTGATATGAATCTGTATGCCCTCTTCAATGATTATATAATGTTTCGAAAATGCTTTGTACAGAAGACAGATACAATTATAATATCAATATCGTTCTGGATGTCAGAAAGATCTCAATAAACAAGTTTTACACTTACAGCAGAAATTGTGTGGATTTAAATGTGGACTATATATAGAGAGGTTAAGACTTTTCATTTTTACTAACAAATGCATGCAAATCTCTGCGGTAAGCACCTCAAACATCAAGTTTCGGCGAGACCTTCTCTTCCCACAAAATGAAACTTGTGCTGGGATTTTTTTTTAATTTTTGTAAGAGGTTGGTCTTTTTTAAACATGATTACTTAAGACCAACATCATCGCGTCACTCGTCCACCAGCTGTTCCATTCCCTCCTCACTGCTGTTATGATTATAATGCCCTAACAAATCTCCCCGGAGCCACTTTCACTTTGTGAATGTAGTGAATTCAATCTAAACATGTCGCCACATGTAAGGGTTTGCCTGAGATGTGAGCGGACAATGAAACCAGACTGTTAAACTATTCATCGTATGCAGGGTTCACTCTAGGTTGATCATACAACAGGTACAGTAAGGTTTTGTTCAGTCATCAGGGAACTCCCGCTGAGTCACCCAACAACGTCAGAATGTACAGTTCATTGAACAATCTTTTTTGTTTTTTAGATTAGATTAGGAGGACCAATATTTGCTCCATGAAATAAAACTATTTACTCACTGTAAATTTCCCAACACATTGATTATATGGCTCTTGGGGCAACATGGGACTTTTGTTTTACAACCATATACTTCTATAGGGCTTTTCACACTGACCTCAACACCAAGCTATTGTCTTTTGGGTGTTTTTACACACAAGCTGTATTCAAACCTCAAAACCTAATCACCCAGAATGAGTTCCTAATACAGGGTAAAGAATGAACTGTGAATGAATAGGAAACGATAACTCATGGTTCTGTTGACTCCGGTTTAGACCCGGGGTTGACAATTTTATTTATTTACTTATAAATCCTACTATGTACAAAACAGTAAAATGCACTACAATCTTAATGAGGTCAAAAGTTCCGTTTCAGAAGGATAGTAAACACTGCCATTTATTGAGTCCACTTCCCACATGACTCGGTCAAACACGTTTACCGAACACTGCCCATAAACTATAAATAAAAAAACGAAGAAAAGTGCAAACATACAGTGTAAAACAGCCTCGTTGTTCTTCTTTTTCAAAGTTATTGGTCCAGTATTTTTTTTTTTTTTAAAGTGCTATTTTCAACAGAAAAGTGGGAAAGCCCACCAGGGTATTTCAAGAGGGCTTTGACCTGAAAATGTGACGCAAACACCAGTAGATGACGCCTACTCTCATAAAAGTGTTGACATGCTGTCTGCTACTGCACACCTACGATGACAACCCTTTCATCTCGTGTTATCAAGAGCAGCTTGCTCTATACTTCAGCTTTTAAAAACGTAATAATGCACACAGTGACAACATCTAAATGCCCATTTTGTTCCCATTAATCACAGCTGGAATGGCTGACAGACACCCAGTCAAGGATGTATTTCACAGTTAAGTGGATGTTATCCTCTTGCTGTTGTAGCAATACTACAGTAAGATAAGAAAATAAAAAGCTGTCCAGAACTCACACTATAAGTTTAGAGTCTGAGTCTTGTGTGTTGATGGACTCTGAGCTGCCCTGTTCCTGCTCAGGGTGACGGAAACTACAGTCTGGCGGCACCCCTACCAAAATCCTGGACTCATCTGGGCGGTCTAAATGAAGGAAATGACAATACTGTAAATACAGAGTCAGACATTATGACCATGTAGGAAAGGAAAAAATCAACAGGTTTAAATAGTACCTTGGTCAGCGGTATCAGTTTGTGGCTTCTCTGTTTTGTTTTGTCCTTTTACATATGCAACCACGGATGCTATGATACAAAGGACAGCCAACCCTGCCATCCCTCCAGCAATGAAAACTGGAAGCCATTTTGTCTCTTCTGGAGGTCCTAGAAATATATTCAATATCCGTATTGAAAGATATGCAGTCCAAGTAAATTGATAATGTATGCTGATCACAGATATGCAACAAGATATTCGAGATATTCTCCTTTACCTTTTTTTTTGCTCACAACATGTAAGGTTGGTACTATTGCTTCTGTAACAGACACAAAAACATTACATTTTGCGGCAGTATGTTCCTTGACATCCAAGTTATAATGTCCTTTTGTATTCCTTGTTACCTTGGTCTGAAGAGCAAGTACGGTCACTGGTAGCATTTCCTTTGCCCAACCTCTGTCCATCGGGACAACTAGAGAATGAATGAGTTTGAATGAGTTTTATGCCAAATGCAGATCTAATTTCAGATAAATTACGTGTTTGTTTTCAAAACAGACAAACCTTTTTTTCCATTCTCTGCAGTTACTGTGGCTTTTGTCATTGAATTTTCCTTCTGGACATTTTCTACACAATCCTGCAAGCATTGAATGAAAGAATTTATTTGAAAATAATATAGCAATTTCCTATTGAACAGCTGATTTATTTATCAGAACATATTCATCTGAAGGCCTACAGCTTTGCAGTTTTTACGTCCAAATCATGAAAACGACTAAAACCGCCGTTTTATGCTGTCAGGCCAGTACTGAACGTATGGACCTAATACACAAGCACATGACTACACCATTTTCTCAAATTCCCATTTTTGCAGCTTATATGGTGACGATAACCGTATTGTTATCAAAACCATGCATTTCAAAAATTTTTGAAGTTTGCATTTTCAGGCCCCCAACACACCGTTGTTAATGTAGCTAAATGAATGGCCACAAAAAGTTGCACGTTTTTATTTGGAGATGTGTAAACGGCCCCTGACAGGGTCCGGAATTCTTACTGTTTTCTGTGGGCTCCTCCCCCTCCTTGCATTCAGTAACACAGAATGAACATTCGTCGTTTCCGCACCGATATCCAGGCTTGCATCCACATACTGTATTGCTGCTGATAGTGCAAGGTTTAAGTGTAATCTGTTTACCTACAAACATGAAACAGAAAGATTAATGCTTACACAGTATGATGTTTTAAAGCTTATGATGATGATGATGCAGATGAAACAAAATTCTGTGAATTGTAATGAGGATGTAAAACAGAATCATATACCTGTGCACTGGGTACATCTCAAACAGAAGAATTCGAAACTGATTGTGTACGTGTCAGGTTCACAGGGGATACAGAGCTGTTCTGGGACGCTTCCACAACGATTCACCAAACGGTTCCCTGTAATCACAAGCAACTATTGATAGTATGGCTTTGAAACTCATACACATTTGACACTCTTATAACTGAATTGCTGTCCAAAAGCCTGAGGGAGTTTTAACATAAAACAAACAATACTAAAATAAGCCAAAAGTGGTGACATGGCATTCATACAACAACGTACCATTTGCTTGGAAGGACATCTCCAAAAAAGTTATTATTGCTATTATCAATTATTGCTAACTGAAATCCAATCGTGTGAATAGAAGGTTTGATTCTTTACATTTTAAGCAAGCAAGGAAGTGTTACAGAGCTCCTCATTCACAGCGAGATTTATAGTGAGTTGGGACAACCCTTGGTTTGAGGTTGAGGATGATCTATTCATCTTTAAACAATGACAGAACAATTCATGGATTTCCCTTTAAGTGATAAACCACATCCTTTTCATGTGGTACCTTCAAAATGATCTGAAACTTCCTTCACTCAGTCACTATTACTAATAAATAATTTCAAGGATACACTGTAATCTGCTTTTTTGTATCTTCAATATCCCAATAAGTCATTGAAAAAAGGGAAATTATGAAATTGTAAACTTCCTAAAATTAAGTTTTTCAAGAATATGTATGTCAGTATTACAGATATCATATTAGGTTACATAACACATCATATTGCAGTCATTTATTGTCACCTGGCTTGCATTTGTTGCAGCAAACATCTGATCCAGACATTGCCCAATCCTCACAGCCAGAATCAGAACCCACAGTGTAGTTCAGCACTAGACTGAATATCAGAAAGACATTCAGTCCTCGGAAAGCAGTCAACATTTCTTCCTACACAAGAAAGAAAACAATTTACCAACTATTATTAACCGCTACTTGATATAATATTATTATTAATGATTACATTTTTAATTAATTCATCAGTTCATTCAACCGAAAACAGACTCAATAAACATCTAAAATCCCCAAATGTTTCAATATGTTTCAAATGTAGGCTAGTTATGTTAACGTAATACATTACAGTTATTAATATATATTTCTTATTAATGAAATAGTCATATATAAATATTTTCTCTTACTGTTTTTGTGTATGGTCCTGACTCAAAGAAAACGCGTACTAAGAAGAGAAACTCCACTCCACTCATTATTTAAACACACACTCTCTGATGTAGGCGTGGCTACTGGTGAACAGCAGCTCTTCTCACAGACTCGCACGTCATTGACATTTTCATTTTCGTATCGAGTGCAGGCGGGTGCGAACTACGGGGGAACTGAGCTCGGCTCCCCTTAATAAGACATGGGCTCCCCTGAAAACGTGATATGTGAAATTGTGGAGCCTATCTCATCGTGTACGTGAGATGTGATGTGAGTGGCAAAGGAGATATAGAAAATGTTTTTTAGACATTGTAGGGCTGACGCAGGGCACAAATGCAGAGTCCATTTACAACAGGTTTGGGGCTTCAGTTCTCACTGGCAAATCCACTGGAGTCAGTGCAAGGCTTAAGCGTGACTTTCCAAAGTTACATTGCTTGGCTCATCGCCTTGAATTGGCTGTCCATGATTCTTTGAAAGTGGTTGCTGGATGTAATCATTTCGAGTTTTTCATTGCCAAGCTGTAGGCTATTCTCTGTACCACCAGTCTGCAAAGAACGTGAGATTGCTTGAGGAAGCAGCTGCAGATTTTGATAATAGGACAGATATTCACCATCAGATGGGTGGCGAGTAGCCACAATACTGTAAAGGCGGTCTGGAATAACTACCCTGCTTTAGCGCGCCATTTCAAAATTGCAAGTGAGGTTGCATCTCGCAACGGCGCTATAGGCTACAAACACCTCACAAACTCAGGGTTTTTACTTGATTTGGCTTGCATGAAAGACATTATCCGTGAGCTGCAGGGCCTGTCACTGAAATGTCAGCAAAGAAATATCACTCAAGTTGATGCCAGTTGCCACATTCTACAGTGTATATAGGGTGACCATATTTTGATTACCAAAAACCAGGACACTCGGCCCAGCAAACACATGGGCCAACTCAAATACTCGAAGGTTACACAAAGATACCTTATTCATTTCAATACATTTAAAGTATGTTATGCCTCCTCTGTATGGATAGAAAATTGTTATATGAAAACAGGACATGTCCTGGGAAAACAGGACAGTTGGTCACCCTAGGTTATACTGAAAGCAATGAAATCGAGTGGAGGGAAATCCACACAGAAGGCCGAACAGCGCACGTCTCTCTGGGGCTGTTTAAAAATGTTCAACTAGTTGCGGCGGGCACAGGCAAGATTAATCGAAATCAGCTTTATCAATCTGTGATCGACAATCTCACATGGCGAATGCCAGAATCAGACCTCATACAAATGCTAAAACCCATGAACAAGCGCTTTTGGCCACGGGAGCGGAATGCATTGATCCTGTATGGAGAAAACGAGGTACGTGCACTTGCTAAAATGCTTGGAGAACCAGCCAGAGAGGTGTTTGAGGAGTTCCGCGACTGGAAATTACAAGACAGAGCACCAGGCAGAAATCTGGAAAAGATTTGTACAGCGAGTAGAACATGCCTTCCTACTTCAGCTGAGTGTGAGAGGGGATTTTCTACCGTCAATGATACTAACAGCGCAATAGGTTGCGTGAAAACAGCCTCTCATTGTCGCTCCTTTTTCTGGACATTAATGGACTCCCATTGGAGTTTCAACCCAATGCCCCTTATCACATCTTGGATTAAGGAAGGTCATCGCCCATCCACTTCTTGGACATCTGGACGAGCAGCAAAGGAAGCTGACCCCATGCCTCTGTGGTTGATTTTGAGTTAAGGTAAGATGTTATTTCCAATTATGTGTTGTGGCTGGGTTGTTGTTGGTCTGCGTGACTCTCGATACCTTTGGCGTAATTGAACGGAGTAATTATGGTATTTTTCTGTAGCTTGAGTCATTTAACCGCTGTTCTTGATGTGAACTCAAGGCTATTTAACTGACAATACTTTGCTAACTGTTGTCAATTTGTGTCGATAAAGTATGGTGTATTCCATTAGTCACGGGCGTCAGTTTGGTTTTGAAATCAAAAAACTTTTGGCAACCGTGTCAGAGGTTACGGGTTCTAGTCCGCCCTCGGTGTAGTTTTTCTCTCTCTCATCAAAACCGAATATTTGAATCAGTGGTTGCAGTCTATATCAAGCAGGAACACGTTTGTGGGCATTTTATTTTGTGATTTCACCAGAATGAAAAGAGAGTCTCCCCATAACTGCGATAGATTGAGGAGCGCGAGTTATGACTGCGCGTGCGCCGCAGAGAATACTGCATGCATAGATATCTATGACACTGATAGCAACGGATGCGAGCACTCCGCTTGAGTTAAAAAACAAAATATTTTAGCGCTAGATCTCTTATTAAATAATATATAGTAGCCTATGCTCGCATAAAACAAGTGGTGCATATACTCGTAGCTGTTATGTATCTTTCTAAGTCATTGTAAGTCTTCTTTTTAGGCAGCCCCCCCCCCCCCCCCCCAAAAAAAAAAAAAAAAAAAAAACAGTAACAAGTGGGCTCCCCCAAAGGACACGGTATAGTTCGAACACTGATCGAGTGTTAACGCGAAACATAATTAAATACGTGGAAAAAGCGAATATCTGATCCGATAAGACGCATCTACTTAATGACACATCATGACTCAGTGTCGCACCATATGCCATATGAAACTCTGCGGAACACTTCCTCATTAGCCTGTATCCTTCCTTCCTTCTCCTTCCTTTGGGACGGATATTGAAAGAGGTCTGAATGACAGTGTAACCTAAGGCAATAATCAGGTGATTGCTGAGTCATTGTCCCGAGTAGGCTATGTGACTTTATTTTTTTCATTTTTTACAGCAACACCAATAGGCTACACATTTCCACACTAAATTTAAGAGGGAATTGGATAAAAAAAATTCCAATCAGATGATTGCTGAATCATTGTCCCGAGTAGGCTATGTGACTTCATTTTTATTAGTAGTATTTACAGCAATAACAGTAAACATTTCCACACTAAATTTAAGATTAGTGAATAGCATAAACATTCCGTCCATTTGGATTACAGTTTAAACATTAAAAAAACTAATAAACATAATGTGATGCATATTTTTCAGTCATAATATGGTTCAGAAAAGGGAGACATCCAAAATGTAAACTGTTGGTGTGCCTCAAGGAGCAGGGTTGGGAATAACTGGTTTAAATTATGGGAAAAGACTATAAGCTTAACAGTTGGGAAATGAGGAAACATTGATTTCAAAATGTAAAAGAAAAAACCCCACTTACCTGAAATGCTATGCAGGAAACTGTAACCTCCAGACATGTGTTAATCAGCTCATCTTACAGACAGTGAATTGAAATAATAAAGAAATGACAGTTTCTTTGAGAGACATACTGTATATGTTACAAGTACTGGACCATACAGTAAGAGCTGCGAGATCAGGTGCACTCATCTGCAGCTTACCTAGAGGAATGCTATTGTCTTTTAATGGGATGTGGCTAAACATCTCTATCACAGTTTTAGTAGCCTGCTAAAGTCAAAATCAATCATAATTAATATAAGCTGCATTTAATTTAAAACTAATTCACTTATTGCCATATCCCATGTGATAATACTTCCAGACAGCATCTCATTGAGTCACTTTTTGTCTTTTAGTTTTGTCAGTCTCATCATTTACAGAAATTAGGGTAAGTCAGTGCTATTCTAAAATACTGTTGTAACTAACTAAAACGGTAAAACTATAATCGTCTTACACATCCTCCTACATTACTACATCACACACTCCCACAATAACCTTTTCATTAGAAGGTTAAATGACATCGTCAACCCACTCCAATTGCGTCATGCGCAGTACTAATCATTAAAAAAATTCTGTCTAGGTGTCATTTGAAGTGGCAAGAATCACGTGTCTTAGCATCAAACTTGACATATTGCACACACGTTGCTAAAGATTGACATCTGTGTGTGTCAAACCAAGGCTACTGTAAGTATCACCATCAGCATCTGTTCTTTCCACTTGTTGTCACACTTCCTCCCTTTTTAAGTGAAAGCATTTTGTTTGTCTTCGAAAAACAGGGGATTAAAAGTTAAAAGCTGCAGAAGACGTGTCACTTCCTCATACTGAGAAGCTGCAGTAGTGAGTCAGAGATAAAGCTTGCGTCCACAGCACACTCATGCAAATGCCTACATGTACAGTGGCAGGCGAAACGCTTCTGTAGTGTCTCAGACTTACCATGAAAAATTCTCTTCAAAGAAACTTTACCCTGTTTATAAGCGATAGACGATCTCCACAGAACATTTGGAAGTTACTCAGAAATGTGATTTACATGGATCATCACCATTAAGTGAGCAGGTATTCAGATATGTCAGATATATTCAGAATAGATTTCGATTTCAACCTCCATTGAGCTTTGGTTGAGTAGCGGAACAACATATTTCCCATGCATTGCTGAACCAACGATTAGAAGATTATATCTCAAAATCATGCTCAAAACTGAACTTCATGTCAAATGTTTAGTTTTGAGATAAACTTTCTTAACAGTTGGCTAAGCGTGAAAAATATGCTGTTCCGTTATTCCAAAGCATGGTGGAGGTGTGATCACCATCAGAAACTGCTTCAGAGACGTGAAAATGATAGCTCCTCACAAGTTTCATAATACCAGATACGTAGACCGGTGACATCTGTTCTTTGAAAATGATCTGGTGTTTTGGCAGCACAAATCATGCTGTCAAAACATTAGATAGTGAAAATCATATCAGCACCTGCATTTACCAGACACTCAAAGGTTTTAGAAATTAGGAAATACTGGAGACTTGATGATGCCAGATAGTGGACCACGATAAGGTTACTTTTGCAACACTCTTAAACGTAAAGGTTCCTTATAGGCATCAATGGTTCTTTAGTTCATTCATGGAACCTTTGTATTTCACAAAAGGTTGTTAATGTGGAAAAAGTTTCTTTAGACTTTCAAAATGTTCTTCACACCACAGAAAAAGAACGTTCATTCAGACTGATCTCATGAAATTGCGTATGTATTACATGCCAATTCGTATTTCCATTTTTTGTGTGCTATCAACACGCATACGCCTAATCACTTACCAGTGTGTTTATGAACGCTGTTGACTTAACGGTATTACTGTATATGTAAGTATATGACTTGCCTCAACCCCATCCCTAAACCTACCTGTCACTGGGGTTAATAGCATTTATGAGTGTTCCCCAAACATCCTAGGAAAAAAAAAATATCGCTCCCCAGATGTAGATCTACATTTTACTTCATTTCGCTCGGACATTCAAAAGCGTGTACATACACGCGGAATCACTCGGGCATTAATGGCGTAGACATACGCGCATATACGCGGATAGCTCAAAATGCATATAGATAACACGCCACTTGACTTGAAAGTGGCTTGTATGTTTACGCAAATGTCGGTACTTTCCTGTTATCTGGACCCCACGATGGCCTACCCCTAACCCCGCCCCTAAATCTCCCCATCACTGGGGTTAAGACCAATCAGGGTCGATGGCCTACCCCTAACCCTGCCCCTAAATCTACCCGTCACTGGGATTAAGACCAATCAGGGACGATGGCCTACCCCTAAACCCGCCCCTAAACCTACCGGTCACTGGGGTTAAGACCAATCAGGGATAAGTATAGTTCCGAAATGGTATATGGCGGGGTCCGGATAACAGGAAAGTACCCAAAAGTCATGATGTCATGTTGCTTCATTTAATAACTGTTTACTGCAAGGTTCTTTGGAAAACCAAAAATTGTTAAACTATGGTATCGAATATTAATCTTTCCCCGCTTTTCCACTCTCATTGCTCAATCGCTCTATTCCGTGCCAATCAAGCCTATGAGGTCGATACGGATATGGTTTTACTTTAAACCTAGGAGCTCTTTGGAATGTAATACATGTGCGTCAGTCTTTGCTTTGGTAACACAATAGTTTACAGATGCATTCCGTAGTGACTGTGTCATGGGTGATCAGATTTTTATTTACATTTTATTATGAACTTTTGTTTACTTTGCTCAAATAGTGCACTTGGGCAGCTACAGAGAAACTGGTACTCAGACAAGTGACCTCATCGACATCACTACACACATTCTAGGAGAGAACTGTTTGTAATCGTGCCGTACCAGGCTCAAGTGGAAATATAGCTGGAACATTCCTTGCCGTTTGAGTTGTCAGCTTTCATTTTTAAAGGGATAGTTCACCCAAAATTGAAAATTCTGTCAGTATTTACTCACCCTCATGTTATTCCAACCCTGTAAGACTTTCGTTCATCTTTGGAACACAAATGAATATATTTTTGATGAAATCTGAGAGCTGGATCACTCCTCCATACTAGTCCATAGGCTTCTTGAGGAATTGAAACTTGCCAGCCTCGAAAAGTTATTAAAGTCACTTGGACTATTTTAACGATGTCTTTAGTAACCTTTCGAAGCCGGCAATTTCAATTCCTCAAAAAGCCTAAGGACTAGTATGGAGGAGTGATCCAGCTCTCAGATTTCATCAAAAATATCTTAATTTGTTTTCCGAAGATGAACGAAAGTCTTAAGAGGTTGGAACAACATGAGGGTGAGTAAATGCTGACAGAATTTTCATTTTTGGATGACTATCCCTTTAAGAGTGAACAAGCTGTGTTTTTTAAATCTGAGAAGAAACCCCACTTCAAGACAATGGCTGGCCACTTCTTAATACATAAAATTTATTTTCTCGGTTTTATATATATTTTATCATATTTACAATTTATTATTCCTCGTTTGTGAAGAAACAATAAAGCATACAGCTTGCGATCAGCATTTCATTCGAAAGGGCCCAGAAGTTATATTCCAAAAGTGCTTGACAGAAACTGTGCCTCTTCTCTGTTTTGGCTCAGGCAGATAGGTCAGTTCGTGGAATAGAACATTACAAACAAGGACATTCAGTATGCTCTTTCACAACACACCTCACTTATTTACCAGTAAACTTGACCATAACAAACATCATAGCCTTTCCTCCATAATAAACGACAATGTTTTTGAACAAAGATAACAACTCACTAATTGCCAAGGGACTTTGGTTAACCTATCTGCCTCTTTAAATATCATCTATGTTTTAAATTTAAGGGCCTATACTACCACGCTGATCATAGACTACTGCATTAAAAGAGTAGTTCACTTTTGCTGATAATTTACTCACCTCCATGTCATCCAAGATATCCATGTCATTCTTTCTTCAGTCGAAAAGAAATTAAGGTTTTTGATGAAAACATTCCAGGATTTTTCTCCATATAATAAACTTCAATGTGGTCCAAAAGAAAGTATCATTGCAAACTGCAAACTGTTCAAAGGGCTTTAAACGATTTCAGACGATGAATAAGGGTCTTATCAAGCGAAAAGATCAGTCTTTTAATAAATAAATAACAAAGTTTAAGTTTTATATGCTCAAATGGTCGCCTTGCTCTGTTAGGGTTAGGGTTGGGGTGTGATGCGCGTTCGTGACTCTCCTATTCGAACTCGTTCATTAAAATGAATTAAAATGAAATGAACCTTATTCATCGTCTGGAACCGTTTAAAGCCCTTTGAACAGTTTGCAGTTTGCACTGAAACTGTCTTTTGGACCTTGAACCATTTGGTTCGCATTTCTTTTCGACTGAAGAAAGAATGACATGAATATGTTGAATGAAATGGGGCTGAGTAAATTATCAGCAAACATTTTTTTTAAAGTGAACTACTTCTTTAACTGTACAGTGATGTTCGTAATACAGTGGTGAATACTAAGACAACTGGTGACATTTGAACAGTCAGTTAGTTCACAGACTCTATGAAAAGCACCTGTTTGTTATTGTTTAAAATGTATCATGTACATTAAGAGTTCACGGTGGAAATCTTTGCAACCATGAGACTAACATTAGCACGTCCAAGCATTTGTTTAATGATACTGTAGAGCTTAACATGCTATAATGCTAATGAAGGAATTTGGCAAGCTGTAGCCTCACAAGACAATACATTCAGCAATGTTTAGGGACGTCAATTGTCATTATGATTGTCAACAGGATTATGACTCTGCAAATGCAACTGTGTGAGAAAAAAGTTAATCCAGCGCATTGATTAATTTAAAAGTACAGACTGTGTTAAGAGCCAGTTGTCAGGCCAGTTGTCTGGCTTTCTAACTTGTGCAAAGAACCGCTTGGGATAAAAAGCAGACAGTCTGATACACTGACTTTCCTGTTAAAAAGCTTATTAGTTGTGTTCTCTTGTGTCAGAGAGTCTAAATGAACTCTGCAGTTGTGCTTTTTTAGTGTCCTCCGTTGATCTAAATAACATTGAATGGACGTTAAAGGAAGAATTTACCTAAAAATGAAAATTCTGTCATTTGCTCACTCTCGTGTTGTTTCAAACACACTTTTTCTTTTGAACACAAAATATCCTGGTTATATTCCATATAATAAAGGGGGACTGGCCTGTCAAGTCCAAAAATGATGAATTTTGGTCTGTTCATCACAAAAAAAATAACCATTCATGATTCAATAATAATGTTCTCCTCATTCTTATGGATTACTTGATGCTTTGTTTTTATTTTGTCATTTTGAAGCTTGACAGCCCCAGACCCTATTCACTCTCATTATATGAAATAAATGTCAGGATATTCTAGATAGCATTTTAGTGTTATTTACAGACTATTATAGTTTTGTATTAATATTTTGAATTAGCTTGTATTTTTATATTCATCTGAATTTCGGTTTTGTTCATCTACTATTTCAGATTTATTTCAATTACTGAAAACGACAGTTTTATGGGTTTTGTTAACAATAACACTGATTATTCTCGACATGAGGATTAAAAAAATGACAATTTTCATTATTGGGTAATTTAAATCGGGGCTATCAGTTAGTACATTCTCAGTGCAGGGATCGTCAGTAGCAAAAATTCATGAAACAAACTCGGGGGAACTATAGGCCTTGTGCTCTGAAAGGGTTAAAGGCACTCTCCTGTCACATAATATCAACGAAAAATTCACAAGGATTTCCCATAGCGTGTTGAAAAGACTGCCGACTAGCCGTGAGTTCTGGTGGGACGTTTCCTAACTCCCGAATGGGTGGAGCCCCAGGTGCGCTGTTGCTTGCTGCCGCTTTGGGGGCGAGGTGAGCAAGGCAGTACGGAGGGGGCAAACCCGGCGGGCCGTAGGAAGAGCCGTGACTTCTCTCACTGTGAGCACAGGACAGATGATTGGGCTGAACGAAAGGGGCGTGGGTGTAGGTGAAGTTGTGGCTATGCTGCGAGATGCTGTGACAGTGGCCATGACTGTACCCAGAGTGGGCTTGACTGACAGCAGAGCGACTGTGGCTGTGACTTGGATGACTCAGCTGACTGGATGCCTTCTCACCCCTCCTTCCGACCCACGTGCCCAGTTCGGATTCGCTGCCCCCACAGCACGGCGCCTTATGGTCCTTCTCTCGAGGGGAGGGTCTCCGTCCTTTCCCAGCGCTGGGGTTGGAGCCACTGCTTCTGCTACCTGAAAAGAAGACATAATGTGTTAGGACAAAACTACTTTTATTTTCCTCATAAAACCATGCGCTAACCAGACTTGACAAGCAATGACAGCCATTTCTTCAATGCTAACCGAATTTCTGTTCTATCAGCCGCAACAAGCAAATCTATATTTGGTTAGTTGCTTAATTCCTTTTCAATGCATTTATCTTGTACATTACCGTTCAAAAGTTTGGGGGCAAGAAATTATTTGACATTTTTGAAAGAAATTAATACTTTTATTCACCAAGGATGCATTGAATTTGTCAAAAGTGACGGTAAAGACTTTCTATTCACTTTCTTTATTTAAAAAAATGTATCATGGTTCAAAAAAAAAAAACTGTTGTCAACATAGATAAGAAATGTTTAACAAATGCTTTCTGAAGGATCATGTGACACTGAAGACATTCATCTTTGCCATCACAGGAATAAATTCTATTTTAAAACATTTTAAAATAGAAAACAGTTATTTTTAATTTTAATACTATTTCACAATATTATTTTTTACTGTATTTTTGAACCCAATGCAACCTTGGTGAACATAAGTGACGTCTTTCAAAAACATAAAAAAAAATCTTACCGACCTCTAACGTTAAAACGGTAGTGTATATTAAACATCAAAAATATACAAGAAGAGACTGATTGTGGAAATTTATGAACACTGACCAAATCTCTCATGTTGTGCAGAAACGTTTTGGATGAACATCTCTCCTGAAACTGTCCCATCAACACAAAAGGCAAAAATGGCCCAAATATTTTAAAATACGTCATAATAAAGAAACGGCATAAGAAAGGATGCTGTCTCAAGAGGCATCATGTTCTTGGCTTTCCGCTCTCTGCTCTGATTGGCTGTGGTGTTGTTGTGTCGCACCTGGTTAGGGCAGGGCGTAAAGGACAGCAATACCATGAGGGTACTTTACAACATCAATATATGAGTAATATATAAACGATTTGGTACAAATAATATATTTTTTTTGGTAGTTATGCGTTTCAAAAACGTCCGCATTGAGGGTAGGTCAAAATGAAATGGACTGAGGCAACAGTTCTGGACAATGCAGTACTCCCAAACTTGATTTGCTTCAGCTCACATCATATATCATCATGGAAATATTTATTTTTCCTTTCCCAAGTTGATTCAGACTTTGGCAAATAGAGAAAAGCGTATATTGCAAAATAACTTGAAAGATAACTTGAACAGATGAGAGTCATTCTGATTCTTGTGCACAATGAAGTTAAAGAACTGTACATTCCCACACAAAATACACAAACAAGCAACACAGCTGGGGAGTCACAATGGCCACCTCAATGAGTCAAATGCCATGATGACAGACCATTGAAATAAGATGATAAGGACAAAAGGTGGGGCGGAAAGGCATTTAGGTGAAAGGGCTAATCTTACCTGATCCCCTGTGCCTAGGAGAAACTTTCCATCAGTCTACAGACGGCCAGCAAAACAGAGGGAATATCATAATTATGACACGTCACCCAACCAGTCCGTCCAATACACTCCCACAAACCGAACCCTAGAAAACCTGAGTGTGCTGGATTGATGTTTTATAAGTTATTTAGCTTGATGACCTTTGCATGACTCCTGATACACATTCCCTGCTCTGTACAGGGTGCAAAGGGTGGCATAAGCAGCATTAATGATTTTAAAAGTCTGGTCATACCACATATATGGAAGATCCAGCTGAATACAGCGACAATGATGATGCTCTAGAAATGGAATGATTAAAAAGAAAAAAGTTGGCATCTGATATCTTGATTTAGTCTTACTAGTATTTCATGATATACTTATCAATAAATTATACACTTTTAAGTAAGGAAAATTATAAAACTTAATAAATGTAACATTGATAAAGACAAATAAATTCTCACATTTGGCACAGATATTTGAAAAGAAAAATTTTCAAGTGAGTTAAGATTAATTTATAGAATTTTGTGCGAGTTATTTTGAGTATGATTTGGTAGCATTAATACAAAAAATATCAGCATTTTTCCTGTTTAATGTGTTGTATGGTTACATATGAAGAGTTCAGATGCAAAAGCCTCTAAATGCCATTTGAAATTTTCTTCTTTAATGATGATTTTTATCAAACTTGTATATTTAAGTTCAGTAATTTCACTTAAATTGCAATGATAATTACCTATTAATTGTTATTTAAGTGAAATTTTATAACTTTTTAAACTTAAATATACAAGTTTGATAAAAATCATCATTAAAGAAGAAAATTTCAAATGGCATTTAGAGGCTTTCTGCATCTGAACTCTTCATATAGTCTGGCATCAGTTTTTAAAGTATGTCCTGAATCTTTAATAATATGTCTTGTTTGATTTTATTTTGTATCTTGCCTAGCATTACACATAAGTTGTAATCATTCACATTATAGATCATTTTCAGTAAAGGCTGTTTATTACTAGCTTAGCTGTTTCTGACTAATTAATTAGTTATGCATTTCATTTTCATTTACATCATTTACAGTAACTAACGACTGCTATTATGTCAAAAATTTGATTTTTAAACCTTTGGGTTAACCATTTTTGAATAAATGGACAAAACCAAAAAGTGTTACAATCATCCCTCTTTATGCAAACATGTGCACATGATTTACTAATCTTGTGCCACTGATGTCATTCTGCCTGGATGCCTTCATTTAGGTACTGAAAGCAAAACTCAATATGCATAAACATTCAGTAGTATTGTACCTAGTCTTCCTACATGCACATTTACAATAAACCCACTGATGGTTTCCTTTTTACTATCGTAAATTCCATCTAATGCCTCAAAGTAGTTGTTAACGTAACAGGGCAGTGCTGGTATTGTTGCTTAACATCATATATCAAGCGATCTTAAAACCGAAAGAGAAAGTCAGTCGAAGCTCACAGGATTGACCGCAGCAAGGGGTTTTCCCTTATATCCATGATCTATTTCTCTCTCTCTCTCTCTCACACACACACACACCTTCACTCTGCTGGCTGCCTGCACTACCACTGTGGAAACTGTGGCAGGGGTCCGAGTATCCAGGAGGAAAACCTGGCGGAGGAGTGGGGTAACCTGGGTAAGGGTAGGGCTGGCCGCCGAGGGGCCAGGGGTTGGTTCCTGGTGGAGGAAGAGGAGGGAGCCCATCCTGATCAGAGCCACCACCACTGGATCCCTCGTTCAGATTGAGAGAAGCCATATCTGAAAACAAACATTTTAATACCATTACAATTATTAATGATATTTCATGTCATTTTTAATTATAGTATTAGTAATCATGCTTTATGGCTCTGACCTTTGGCCAGATCTTATCTTAACTTAACTTAAAAGTATACTAGCGTTCAAATGCTTGGGGTCGGTACGTTTTACAATTTACAACACTTTACAATAAGGTTTCATTAGTTAACATGAACTGATAATGAACTGCAGTTCTACAGCATTTATTAATCTTTGTTGAGGTTAATTTCAACATTTACTAATACATTATTAAAATCAAATGTATTCGTTAACGATAGTTAATTGCGTTGTGAAGTAACATGAACAGTCAATGAACAGCTGTATTTATATTAACTAACATTAACAAAGATGAACATATAACAAATCTATTGCTCATGGTTATGTCATGCTGGCTAATACATTAATGTTAACAAATGAAACCTTATTGTACATTTTTACTGTTTTTATTATTATTATTATTTAGCGAGGATACATGATCAAAAGAGCCAGTAAAGGCATATCATTCATTCATTAACCATTTCAGTCATATCTGAATCTTTTTCAGCCAAATAGCCTGACTCTTGGGAAGCAAACTCTTGCCATACCCAAGACTGTCCATGACATTTTTTGGCAATGATACAGGTCCCACGTTTCTTGAAACAAATCAGCATACTAAAATGATTTCAGAAGGCCCATGTGACACTGAAGACTGGACATTCAACATTGCCATCACAGGAATAAATTACATTTCAAAATATATTAAAATAGAAAACATTATTTTAAATTGTAATAATAGTTCACAATATTAGTGTAAGCGTAAGAGATTTCTTTCAAAAATATTGAAAAATCTTACGGACAATACAGTCTTACAGACAGTATTGCCCTGTATGATTATGATCATGACTGTATATTGACTGTACTTTGACACAGATCTCCAAAGGTGTAGTAGCACTGCTCCGAGAAGGTGATTTTATTGACTGTGTGTCTCAGGTAGCCATGTTTCAACAAACTGCTGGCATATTTTCTGGCATCACGGCGGTCCTTGAAGCCCTCCACCCGAGAGAACAACCAGTCAACAACATCAGCCCCTGGAACAAGAGAATGAGCAATGAGGAAAAATAGCACAATTACATACACTGATTATAAATACAATATACAAGGAGCAAAAAAGGTGCGCCAAACAATCGCAGCAAAGAATAACACAAACCGATGACAGCGTTGGCTATAGTGATCTTCAACCACATTCGGTCTCGGATCTCCAGGCCTGAATCTGGTAGCTGCATGACTTTTACTATAGTCGCCATGTCTGTTTTTGGCACAGAAAGGGGAAGGTCATCAAACTCTGTGAAATAAGAAAGAAATAACGGTGTTGAACATGATACATCTACCATTATACTAACAGATGGTCTCTTGTGGGACGTGAATGTGACTTTGATCATACCATAATGGGGGTACGGCCCAGAAAGTGCTGTAGTGTGTGTGATCCAGGCTGCAGGGTCAATGGGTCTTACTGGCTCAGCTGAGGACAGACAGGGATAAATGAACTAGATGAATGCAGCATGCAGCTGCTATAATGGAGGGTGGTAGGTACGTACCTCTAGGGATGGTGAAGTAGCTTCTAGGAGAAGGGTCCCAACATTTCGCCACTGTTAGGCTTATTGGCCTGTAGAGGACATGAAACATGAAGCAATGTTGAAAAGGGGATTATGACATGATGTGTCACTTATTTCGGGTGTTGCACCCTCTCTCACCCAGGTTTGGAGACGATCTCCCGTAGAATCCTGACAGCATCATCATTGCTCATGTTCTCAAAGTTCACATCATTCACCTGAAATTACAATCACATTGAAGCGTGTATCATTTTGATGCACTACACGACATGAAGCTTTTTAACTTTTAATAGCGACTATTGTGCAAGATCAACATGGAGTTATGAAGAATTGCTATTATATTATTTGTGGATACAATAACATTTATTTCCACAAAAAAATGTATGTATTTGAAGCATTGTACACCGATTTTATTATTTATTCACCTTTTTCCCAAATTCACAAGATTATAATTACAAGTCATCATGACTTTATTATTTATCATGACTATCGTCATGACTGTTTATTTTTGTGTTTAGTATATTTGCGTTTCATTGAAGAAAAAAAGTCAAATAAGTTAGTTTGGAACAAAATGATGAATAATAATGACAGAATTTTCATTTTTATGTGAATTAACAATGTCTCAGTCAGAGGGACATTGTTTGTTTACACATATGACACCACTGACCAAAATTCACCTAATAAAACTGGGTCATTAACCATTACCGTTTCTAAGCAGAATCTGAGATCACCATGGCTGAGGAAAACCCCTTTATTGTGTAAATAAATGACCAAAGAGTTGAAAGCACCATTCTGTCCACTGTGGTAAATCAATGACAACAGGTATGACAACAAGGTCTTTCAGCAAGGAGGAAAAGGAGAGAAGCGAAATAAGTCAACAACAGTGTGTGGTGACCCGACCTTGATAATCCCTCAAAAGTGCATTTAGAAACTAAAAAGCAGAAGAGACTGGTCAGTTTCCGTTCTGTTAAAGGGATCATTGTAAGTTTAAATTAACACTTTTACTTACAAAATTATATATTTAATTTTGATTTTCCTGGTGATATAACATTTAATAGAAAGTTAACCCAATACTTTGTCCAAATATCTTTTTTTATGTTTTACAGGTTTGTTTTACAAGATTTTTAGATGAACTGTCATTGTAACAGTGTGGGTATTGGCAATTATTTTAATGCACATTTTATCATTTTTAATCTTCTAAAACATGCATTAGATCCCTGTAGAAAGAGGTTCCAGACTGCTGATCCCTTCACCTGTAACAGCATGTCTCCAGGCTCAATCCTGCCATCCGCCGCCACTGCTCCGCCTTTCATGATGGAGCCAATATAGATGCCTCCATCTCCTCTGTCATTACTCTGACCAACTATACTGATACCCAGGAAGTTGTACTTCTCTGTGAGAAAGAGAGATACAGCTGTTTTCAGGTATGTGTTCATCTGAGAGCACACTGTGCACACTAGACCTTGAAAAACAGGAAGTTCAGTTTATTAAGCAGGTGGAGTGGAGAGATAGAGAAGCGAGGGAGGATACACAGGGATGAACGATGAGAAAAAGAAGGGAGTGAACTAGTGAATAAGTTTCTTACCCATGTTGAGAGTGACTGTGATAATGTTGAGGCTCATTGTGGAGTCTGTAATACTACTGAAGGATGAGGACTGTCAAGAGAACATACAAAAGATTGATACGGATCAAACACTTATGTGTAGAAATGTGTACTTTCCCTCTATGTTCTCACCCTGTCCATTTTGGTGACTTTCTGTCTCCGTCGCCTGCGTTTGTGTCTACGCATGAGGTGTGATGAAGAGCTCTGCTCGGTTGAACTGCTAAGTCTGTGGCTTCGGACAAAAATGAGAGGTTAGGGCAGGGGTCAACACTATAATGAAGAACCAAGCTTTAAATGTATTATTTTTGTGGCAAAATATTATGAACTATCACTCAGTTTTGAGGTTAATTCTCAATTTGGCTCTCTGTTAAAATTATACACCCGTGCTTATAACTAATACCGTCTATCTTCATTTGAAGTTTTTTATTCTGACTGACACTGACGTGTTAACACACAAAAATCAAGTTTCTCAAAAATGAAACCCGATGAGAGGTTAATTCAAACACCAGAGAGAGATTAATGTGCCGGTCAGTGGTAAAAAAAATCCATCTAATTAAAACCATAAAAGTGTGAAAAGTTCCTTTTTAATGAATTGTTATTATGAATTATTGGATACATGCACATTGTATAAGTGTCATGATGATTACATATGATTTTAGATATGTTTTCATGTATAACAGTTATTTTAACATTAATGATTTTACAACACTGACAGTATAATCTTCAGCAAATATTAAAATGATTATACATCTTCATACAGTACGTTATTATGTTGTGATACCTAAATTCACTTTTCAGTTTTTGGTGTTTTATTTTTATTTTATCAAGACAAAATAGTGCAGAAATCAGCCACGAATGCATTCATTACGGAAAAAAATGATTAAACATTATTAAATCGATCAAGATTGAAATCAATTGACAAACCATACTTAATATATCATTTTAAACAATACATTTTTTCGTCCCTCTTCATAAATAAGATTGAAATGTCATCATGCCAATGGGCAAATAAGGACAGCCATTGTTTAAAAGGAAATTAAATGAATCATGCGCTCTGAGCCAATTACATTTTCCTGGGAAATGAAACTGGGGGATGTCTGACCTGCTGGCATCCTCATCCTCCTCGCTGTCGATAAATGAGCTGGATTCCAGCTCGCTGCTTATCACTGATGCGCTGTCATAGCCAAGAGCGGAGTCACGATTCACGCGCTCCGATTTCGAGTGACCGTTCACGCGAGGGACTGTGAAAAAACAAATAAGACATTGTTTAAAAGCAGCATAGCAGCACATCAGAGACAGAATACAGTATATCATTCTGAAAGAGGCTCTTGACAGCAAATCCCGACAGTGAATCATGGTAATGGACTAATAAGGAAAGTCATTGTTTAAAAAGAAATTAAATACTTCCCTCTGGTGCATTTAAAATCCAGTTTCAACAAATCTACTGATGAAAATGTGCAGTCATAATTCTCAAAAGTGCTTCTCGAATCCGTCACATCAAGTCTAACAATATGGTTGGGGTTTACGTACAGAGACAGGGACGAAGTTGTGTTTCTGGGTGACATCTGATGCGCGGAAAAGGCCTGACCAAACGATAAGACCGCTGTGGACCCCGAGTGCGACCAAAGCATTCCAGTATTGCAGAGGTGCCCATTTCAGACCATTACTCTCCACGTAGCCACCCAGACACACAAATCAATCACGGCTATTTTAGCCAACCACGTCACTATTCACGTACAGAGGAAGCTTTTTCATTCCTCTGTCACAGGACAATTGTATCACCTCAACGATTCAGGGTACAAGCAGAGGCCTGTGGCAAGATGAGCTGTCCGGCTGCAGCTGTGTGAAACAGCCTATCAGGAGCCCTTTCTCAGAGTGGATCATCCACAGGTGAGTAATGCGTTTATAGCCTCTCCGGAGTCCTTTTAGGCTCATTTAGCATGCGGCCGACAACAGGAACAATAGAGATAGTGGAAGACAAAGATGCAGTCGCTTCAGATATGGAAATTATCCATCTACATCTGGCTTCAGGAGACCAATTTATGCCTGTAAAGCGCAATATTACATGTAAGTATATATCTAGTATAGTCATACTAAAATTAAAACAGGCAGTACAAAGGATGAAGCCATACATTTTAAAAAATATATAATGAAAGAAAAATTATATTCATTAATGAATATAAACAATCTATTATATTAATAATTATGTATAAGTTATTCCGATTAGATGGATTAAGATAATATAATCTTATGTCTTTATTAGGGCTGAAACGATTAGTCGACAACGTCGACAATGAAAAATTGTCGACGAATATCGTTGTGTCGAGTAGTCGTTTGATCTCACTTGACCTAATGTAAGGGTGTGCAATATCGCGATTTGACCGCTACGGCGCAGTGGCGCTAGAGTGTAATGCAGCCCTTACAAATGCGGTAAAAGAAAAAACAGCGCGAATCATGACGGAGTGCAAACGAATCCGAACTAGCAAGGTTTGGGAAAGTTTCACAAAACTTAAAACCAACAATGCTGTCATGTTGATCGAGGTTAGGAGTCAGGGCCGGACAAAGGTAAGCTGCGCTCCACCTTGTTGCTAGTTTAGTAAGTTAACTGTTAGTGCTAACAACCATTCACACATGTACTTTTAACTAAAGTTACTGTGTTTCAAAAGTGTAGTTTTCCGGGTTTCTCACGTATTTTGAGCTCTTTTCCTTATCTTTTCGACTTAAGCTATACTAATTTTAATATTTAGATGTTATGTTATACTTTACTGTCGTAAATATAAATGACATTTATTTATATGTCAAATACACATTACTGAGGGTTGAGGAAAATGTTTGGTTTCCTGCATAGAATGAATCCATTGTTGATATTTTCCCCATGGTGATTGTGTTTCGCTGTTACACCCCACAATACAGCAACGGTTTACCATGGTTGAAATAGTAACGCCAAATGAATCAAATCTTTCAAATCAAATATTTTCTTTCTCTCAACTCCGCTTCTCCTCGTTCATTTGCTGTTTGTTTACATTCGCTAGCTGCCAACATGGCCGCCACGCCAGTAATGACGTCACGACGCCCAAGCCCTATTAGTCTTATCACTCCCCTATATTTTGATGTTCCATAATCATAAACTTACAAAAGGAGATGTTAGGAAGAATATCATGGCAGTTACTTTTTCACACTGTAAATTAATAGGTGAATGAGAACGTCTCTTTCAGCTCAATTCATGTATAAAAAAAAATATCGTAATTTTATATTTAATGATTTGGATATTAATATTTTACCATTTTTTGTGTCCTGAAGTAAATGTCCCTTTTTCTGTTTCAGTTCTAAGAAAAGCAGTGGTCCTATTAAACAATGCTTAGAGAACATTTGTGATTTGAGTTGGACTGAAATCTGAAAACTTAAAGAGAATGACCTGTTTAGTTGGCTCAAAACCTGAACTGATTTTCTTTTTTATATTATAGTAAGAATATGTATAACTCAATGTTTTAACTAATTGAAAAAGCTGAATAATCATTCCAAACTTACTGATTAGTCGCCAAAATGCAGTAATCGACAATTAGTCGATTAATCGTTCTAATAATCGTTAGATTAATCGATTATCAAAATAATCTTTTGTTGCAGCCCTAGTCTTTAGGTCTTTATTCATAAAGAGTGTGTGTGTATAAATATATCTACACACACACAGTACAACACAGAGTTTTTAAACAACATAACTAACCTTTTCTTTTGCATAAAACATAAGTAAATATAGGTGGTCTTGGACATCAATTAAAAATTAAGAATTTTATTCTACAATCATGAAATTGATCTTAAACTAAAAATATCTTTTAAAAATTAATCTTGGTATCAGAGAGACGCATTTGTCTTACCTCCGCTGCTGCACAGCTCTCATTACAGTGCAGCAACTCTCATTAGCTTGCAGCATTTCTAGCACTCAATGAAACCTAACCTCCTTTACGCGGGAACTCAGCTGTCTATCAAATATCAAATCAGTTTCTACTGGAACGGGACAATGAACTGCCCTGAGCGAAGGTGCAGTATACTGTACTCAGATTTAAGCCTCTGGCCACCGCTGCCGCTGATAACTGATGATTTATCGGCAATGTTGTGTGCAAAGAGAATCTGTCATTTTGTTGAGGATTCATGTTGACAGCAAAACAACACACAATGATAAGTTCCTGAAAGGTTGCTTAATCAAAGACGAGCCAAACCCAAGATAAATCAACATATCCACAAAATAAACACATGAAAACTGAATATTGAAAACTCGGCATGGTTAACAGATAAGGGCCTGAGGCTAAAAGAGATCTCCTCACACTCCTCTGATTCCTGCCCCTAGGGCACACACCTGTCTGGTGTTACTAACAACCAAACACGTTTTTCATGCAATCACACCCAGCAGAGGTCAGCAAAAGACATCCCAATTTTGGTCAAAAGTATGGTCACCAAGACTGTATGTATTTGATTGGAAATACTGTAAAACAGTAATTTGAAATCACTGTATTCTATTTGAATATATTTTAAAATTTAATTAATTCCTGTGATGGCCGCGCTGAATTTTCAGCATCTTTAACTCCAGTCTTCAGGGTCACATGATCTATCAGAAATCATTCTAATATGCTCAAGAAATCAGAAAGTGGTATTAAATGGATAAACAGTAAAGTCATTTATGAATTTACAAAAGATATATTTTAAAGAATCACGACACACACATACATGATATATATACTGTAGCTGGAATCCTTAAGTGACTGAACACTATTATGACAGTTTTCTGGGTTTAACAGCTCTAGTATGCACAACTATTTCTGGAGAAGAAAAAAGGGGCCTGACCTGACACATTTCTCATGTGCTCTACATCCAAACACTCCAGAGATAAACCACACATCTACAATACTGCTCCAGACATACACAAGCTAAATTAATAGATGCTTTACTTTCAAAGAGAAACTAAAAACACAAGCACAGTGTGAATCACAACATTTATATCAGTGTTATGGCGTAACTAACCAAAAACAATGACACTACAAAGTAACACTTCTTTTCTGGTAGCAATTTACTAATGCTGTCTGCAAAGACGAAACATCAGGTAGCCTGATGACTTATAACAGACTGTAACGTCCATAAATCATCAGTATCTTCAGCAAGCACACAAAAGCCTTCATCTGTTTCTCGTTTCTGACGGTGTTACTGCACTAATAAATGAACTTGTCACTAATGAGGTGCATTCCAGTGAACAAAACTGGAGGAATGGTGTAATTTCCCAACTGCATCAGACAGTTGTGAGAAGGAAGCAATCTTGTATGTTGCATACAGTAAGAGGCATTAAGAAAGTCAACAATGTAGACATTCTAGACTTAGGTGGGACTTTCTCACCTTAAAATCTACTGACAACAACACGCACATACAGCCAATGGAAGCTCTAGGAACATTCTTTGTTGATGACAGAATATTTTTTCTCTGCAAAAGGAAGATTTCATGCTTCCAATTTACCTCTCTTTACCCAGAACTCAGCATGTGCACTAACAAAAATAAACGTTCTGTAAATTACTGGTTTGAAACAAGCAAGCTTCCAGAAAACAACCCAAAACAGGATAATTCTGTGGAAAATTCCTTAGGAAAGCAACTACATCCTGCCAACACCACGTGACAAACTATTAGCTTTTAAAAGTTGCATCATTTATTCACTCTCATGTCTTTCTTTTAGGGCTGTCAAACGATTAATAGCGATTAATCGCATCCAAAATAAATGTTTCTGTTTACATATATATATATAAATACACACACATGCTTGTTTATATTTAAGAAATACTTTCATGTATATACTGTAAATAGATTTATATATAAATATAAATATTTTTATATAAATAATATTTTTTTCTTAAATATGCATGCATGTGTGTATTTATATATATATAAAATAATTCTATACAGTGCACCCACATATATTATGTAAACTCAAACTTTTTGAATTTTGGATGTGATTAATCGCAATTAATTGTTTGACAGCCCTACTCTCTTTCTTTCTGAAACTATTAAAATTATAATTATACTATTTTTTCTGTGTCATGAGGATGTCATAAAACAACATCACATTTACCAGCTCAAAAGCAGTTTTGTAGTATAACGTGTCTGTCCTTAGGATATTTCACTCACCTGCCAGACATCCACCCCCTGGGGAAACACCTGTAGCATTAACTGCTGCCTTTACAAATAATGTCGTATGTATCAAATGTTTCCTGATTCCATGGTATAATTAGATTCCTGGCACCTGATATGTGCTGTGTATAGTGTAGAACAGGTCCGTTTTGCTGAGTATTGTTTAATGTCACTCACACTCACTTTCTCGTGGCCTCCTGTGAGCTCTCTGCCTCTCCCGCTCTCTCCGCTGGCTCTGGAGAGACTCTGTGCCCGTCTCTGTGTCCAATCCATCCCGACTGCTCACCGCATTGGCACTAGTACACACACAAGCAAAAAGATCTTCATTATATTGCCTCGAGACCATCTCTATTATGCTGTGTCACAATACACTTGGCCACAAAAGACGAGAACATTTTCTAAGAAACATTCTATAATGATGATTACCATACCTACATTCAATTTCATCGCTAACAGGAGTATATGATTTAAAGCTGTGCATTTTCAGGAACTGTCACTAGTTATTCAAAGCTGAGAACGTAGAGCGTTTAGGTCCAGCTGGGTTGAACTGCAGCCCAGGAGTTGGGGCCCAGAAGAGCAGGTTGTTGGGGGTAAATGGATAAGTGTGTGTGGATTTGCCAAAGGCCAGATATTCTAGCTGAGATGGTGGAATGCTTTTGCTCAGGGCTGAAAAGAAACCTAAGGTTGGTGAGAACAGCTAGCTGAGACACCGAGTCCACATGTAAAGATGCTAACGCGTGATAAAACATGAGATAAATGCTGGTCATTTGTGTATTTTAGCACGAAAACCTACATCCAAGATAGGGTTCGGTTTATGCAAATAGATATAACAGCACTGTCAGCTTCTGAGTGATTCTTAATGAATTCCCCACAGTATTTGTTTGTATCCAATTATGAGTCTTTCTCTAGTAAATTTTCCCAGACATAGATTTACATAGAAGTGTTAGTTTTGAGTAAAAGCAGTGTACTTAATTCAAATGCATTGACATCGTATTAAAGGAGTAGTTCACTTTAAAAAAAACAAACTTTTGCTGATAATTTACTTGATTATCATAATTTACTTGATAATTTTCGTTTCGCTTGATAAGACCCTTATTCATCGTCTGGGATCGTTTAAAGCCCTTTCAACAGTTTGTGGTTTGCACTGAAACTGTCTTTTGAACCTTCAACCGTTTGGTTCCCATTGAAGTCCATTATATGGAGAAAAATCCTGGAATGTTTTCATCAAAAACTACTCCTTTAAGATTCACAAATGATTAAGTTTTGTCATTTTATTCTACTTTTAAATCTGCTTATATAATATTTTATTATCACCCCAAAAAGAATCTAGAAACAAAGCTATCTATACAGCTTGTGAATATCCAGGCTTTTGAGCTCTGCTAAAAAAACGTATTTAGACCTACCCGTTTACATTAAAGTTTTTTTTTTAAAAATTAAATAGTTTTAAACAAGCAAATGAATAAGCCATGAGTCATTTTTCATCCATTTCCACCTGCTTCTAGAAAATGTATCTAACTCAAGATTTCTCATTTACATGCACATGTCAAAAGTCCCGCCCCTTACACAAATAAGTGTGGTAATGTCTCTCTCTGCTGGATGGGGCCTGTAATTTCACCAATATGGTAATGTTTCGCCAGAAGAACACAAATCGACTCACCGAAAACCTGCATTTAAGCACTTAAACTTGGTCACCGCAGGTAAAAACTTAGCTAAATCCAAATAATAAAAAGCCGAATTAATATAATCACATAGAGCAGTAAAATACATAATGTTATAGATACAGAATTTAAAAAGTGAAGAGAAATACTTTGGAATTTGTTTTGTTGTTGACACCAAAGGTGAAGTAAAAGAAAATACAACCCAATTTATATTTCATTAAAATGTAATTTTTACTGATACAATGGCTTACGAAAAACTTGCAAATCTCACAAAGTTAGCAGTTTGAAATCTATTTTATTTATCACAGACTGCTATTATAAAATATCATTTGATGCATTTAATGTGCATTTCTTATACTCTGTGAGTGAGTATGTTGTATTTACAAGGAGCAGCGGGCAGACGGATGGTTCGGTCCTGGGGGAGACCGAGGCAGCTGCGCACCCAGCAGAGCCCACGGGGCAACAGAGACAGGGCTTTTAATGTCCACTAATCCGGATTAGCTGCTAAAAGGACGGCAGAAAACATTCTCTCCTCTCCCTACCAATTGCATTCAGCAGGACCAATAAATAATGCAACGCTCAAAGGGAGCAGGCAGGGTATAACATTTGGTTACTTACTGATGCGCCTTACAGTGAAGCTTTTATAATGGAAATTAGGAGGATTTCTTGTGGGTGAAACGTGTGAGTGGGAATTCATATTCATTTGAAGCTAAATTGTATGCTAGTCTGTTTGAGAGATGCTGGAAGAAAAGGACTGACTTGAGGAAAAGGAAGCTGTCTGTGGTTCACTGTTACATGTTCTGTCACTAGATGGCGCTAGACACTACAGAAAACAAGTGAGAATTCTCTAGTGGGGTGAGAAGGCTACAACTGAGAACAGACACACACACACACACAAGTCTGAAAGTCAAACATTAGATAAAGAAATATTGCAGGATTTTCACAAAGTGAACAGGTGCAACAGAGACTACAAAGAAAGACTGTTGCAAAATTGCCCCGTAGCACGTTGATCTAAATTTAGCCTTCAACATCTTCAATACCTACAAAGAGAATATTTAATCTGTGTGTTTGCTTTAGAAGCACAACACAACACAGCCTTTTTCACAGCAAATCAATGTAGGGCCCAAGCGAACAAATCTGATTTGTTTAAGTGAATCGGTTTATCTGGACAGTTTATTTCAATTCAATTAATAAGAACCAATTTATTGTCTTAACATGCAAAATACTATAAGGGGCACTTTGTTTTTGAAATAAAGCTGCAATTTATCTGTATATTTTTACCACTTGCCATAAACTATACTTTAATACAGTTTTTTTCGATTGCTTAACCACAGTGGAGCACAACTGGAGCTACATGTGCAAAACTCTAACTCCAGTCTGCGCAGCAGCAGTTCATGTTGACCAAACTCTAGATCGTTTTTCAGTGCTTGAACACAGTTTTCAAAACTCTACACACTTATCCCATGACTTTAACCACAACCTGCACAACACTGTGGATTTACAGCACTTTGTTCAAATGCTAACACACTGCTGTCAAAACTGTGAACCACTCACTCAAAACAGAATAAATTTCAGCCTTGTGCCTTTCACACACTGCTGATGTTCAAACTATTTCAGCTGAAAGGCTGAAAACTTGTGGCCTAATGCTTGAGAGACCCAGATAGCAAACTGACATTGAATCAACGTGGAAACATGACATCGAAACAACGTTGATCTGACATTGTTTTGCTCATTGAATTACAGTAACGTTGAACCAACATCAGACGCGTCATTCTTTCAAAACTAACGGAAAATCAACTTGAAATCAACGTTGTTTCAACGTTACGAAAGCAAACCAATTTTTCGATTTTCATATAGCTTTGAAGAATGCCGCGTCTGACGTTGGTTCAGCGTTACTGTAATTCAATGAGCAAAATCAACGTTGTTTCGATGTCATGAGAGACGTTGTTTCCACGTTGATTCAATGTCAGTTTGCTGTCTGGGGAGGCAGGGTTACAGTATCACAGTATGTACTTTTAGTTTCTACCTTTTTTTCTCATTACTGTAATTCTGTAAATTACTACAGACTATTGAAGCAAACTGCTAATTTTCAATTGTTATGTTCTAAAAATGTAAATATATCAAATGAAAGAATGTCACTGTTTTCTTTGAAGAAAATATTACTTTGTATGAAGTGTGAAATTGTTGAAACTGTAAAGATGAAAAGTTTGGATTTTCTGCATTGGTGTTTGATGCTAGTGTTTTTCCTCTCAGTGTGTTCTGAGTGACAGTGTGTGTTATCTCAGTGAGGGTTGTGCATAGTGTTGTGCACACTGAGCCTGTTTTGAGCCGTGTGTTAAGAGTTGTGCTCAGGTGACTGTTGGTAATGCAGACTGTGGTTAGAGTCTTGCACATTTAGCTCCAGTCGTGCTCACTGTCGTTTAGCAATCGAAAAAAACTGTAATAATGGCTATAATTGGTATTTGCCAGAGAACATGAATTATTATGTGGGCAGCCATGTATATGAATGTAGGGACGCATTGATACATGAGTGATACATTGACCACATGAATGCTGGCAAATCAAACAAACATACTGAACTTTGAGAGGCAAACATGTATCCTATTAGAATAGAGCTTACGAGACAGGCGCAAGGATTCACACATGTGGCTCCCGGAAGGACAAGAATGATATTTCCCATCCAGCTGGATAATAGACATATGCTACTGCTGTGACTGTGGTCAGGAACTCAGAACAAATCAAATCTGTGGTTTTGTAATGCTTGTCAGGAGAGTGTGTGTTTCTGTGTGTGTACTTGTACATCTTTCTGAGGACCGGATTGATTTTTAGACCATCGGAGTGAGGGTATAGAGAGTAACGAGGACGTTTAGCGCTTTAAAGGCCTGTTTGAGGGTCAAGATTTGGTTTTAGGGATAAAGTTATAACTAAGTTAAGGGTATGTTTAGGGTTAGGCACTTAGTTGAGATGGGTAAGGAGCTAGAGATTGCATTGTGTCAATGAATGTCTTCATGTAGATCGATGTAGAAGAATGTGTGTCTATGTGTGTGTGTTCATGCGTTGCAAAAACCCAATGCATATGCATATATAATGCATATGTGCAAATCATACAATGACTTGTATACATTTCTATGTTGGACATGCTTTCAATTTCTAAATTAAAATCAATTTTTATTTCTTGCCTTAAAGGTGTGACTATGGAAGCTTGTTATCACCACTGAATAAAAAATAATAATAATAATTGCGACTTTTTATCTCACAATTGCAAGATATGAAGTCAGAATTGTGAGAAATAAAGTCGCAATTGTGAGATATAAAGTCGCAATTGTGAAAAAAAAAGAATTGAGACTTATCTCACAATTTGGACTTTTTTTCTCACAACTGCAAGTTTACAGCTCACAATTCTGACTCTGACATAACTGCGAGTTAATATCTCAAAATTCTGACATCTTTTCTCAGGCCAATTCTAACGGAAAGACTAACTTTTTCCCCTCAGAATAGTTTATATCTCAGAATTCTGACTACAACACGCAATTGCGACTTTATATCACGCAATTCTGACTTTATAATCTGCAATTGCGACTTTATATCAGGCAATTCTGACTTTATAACCTGCAATTACGACTTTATATCAATCAATTCTGATTTTATATCAATCAATTATATCAATCAATTCTGACTTTATATCTCACAATTCTGACTTTATAACCTGCAGTTACGACTTTATATCAATCAATTCTGACTTTATATCTCGCAATTCTGACTTTATAACATGCAATTGCGACTTTATATCACGCAATTCTGACTTTATATCTCGCCAAATGTGAGAAATAAAGTAAGAATTGCGAGATGTAAACTCACAATTGTGAGATAAAAAGTCGCAATTACCTGTTTTTATTTTTCATTCTGTGGCGGAAAAAAGCTTCCATATGTATCTGTCCAGACACTAGGGGTGTAATGGTACGCGGATTCCTTACCGAAAATATTCAGTATGGCTGCGCGACAGCACAGTCACGCTGAGCCGAGGCCCGAAGCACTAGCTATGCCAATTGAATCATCTAGTCAGTTCTTTTTTTTGTTGCTAAAAATTGTATAAACATTTTTTTTATATATGAAGCTGACATGAAGAACTTGACCCTTTGAACTAGATTTATACATTTCATCATCATTATTTGTCATACATCGATTTGTCACAAACCCATGTTTAACAGTTATAATGGGATGTGTTCTTATCAGACCTGGTGTACTATGGGCCTGAAAAGTGAGTAATAAATGATGATTTGTCAGATGATTTGCATGGCATTACTCACTGGAAAGAGGGGGGTCTGGAATCTCCAATCCCTCCAGTTCGCTCCAAGGGTGGTGGTAGCTCTTTGTGGCTCTCTGTGCACTGAGATCCCCCATCCGAGTGTGTGCCTTCAGCCAACACCAACTAAAGCCAAATACACACACACCACACAATTACTCACAAAAGCGTCAGGAAGAAACTCTCTAGACTAACTACTAGCCCTGCATAAATAAGTAGACCAGCAGAAGGAAGAGAAGAGAGTGCATTTGTTTAAGCAGACAGGAGTGTGAAAAAATGCAAGTCAGTTCATTTGGCAGGCTTCCTGGTAAAGGTCCTGGCAGCTATTTCAACATATTTCAAATCAGCAATAAAAAATGACCACAATGGTATCATAAATGATGCAGTATTTGCTTAAATCACACACAAAAACCCAATCTTTCAGGTTGGAGAGTACCCATAATGCACAGTGAGGGTCGCGCTGAATGAATAGCCACATCTGACCAGAAGATAGTGCCTCCAGGTGAATCATCCATCCATTTTCCATCCAAACCACTGATCCAATGTGGGTCCAGCGTAATATCATACATGTATAAATTCCTTGTTAATCGATTATTACATTTGTTTAAATGACGATTGCAATATAGTTTCCATGACAGAGTTCAAGATTAATGTTTTCTTTACAACTGGAGCTGCCAGTTTGCTAAGCTTCCGGTGCACTCAGTGTCCGAATTCCCTCACTGGTTTTCATTCACTCCTTCAAGTGAACTATATTAGTGGATTGATTTAGGGAATAGTGAATGAGGGTATGGGGGCGATTTCGAAAACAGCTTATGACTGGTCCGACTACTCTTCAATTATCAAAAAGGAGTCTTAAAAGGCAGTACAGTGCTTTCATGATCCAAATAATGGAGGGCAGATGTAGATACCCAAGGCTGCTCATAAAAAAAACGCTTTATTGTTTATATTCTCTACAAATAACAATGATACAATTTTTGAGAATGGCAGAAATCCACTACACTATGGTAATTAAAGCAGTGATCATGATATAGTACACTGAAGGTCTCCCTGTTTGGACCTTTAGCAGGCGATGAAGCACATATTTTAGTGCTGCACAGCTCAATGTCATGTATCTCAGCATGTCTGAGCAACTCTCTGCAGCTGGAGGCTCGCTGGAGTCCACTAACCTGTATTTTGCACCTCACTTTAACCAAAATACAGGTATAACAGCTGCTTTTAATAGTGTAGATGTGTGTTTTAGAGCCGATAATCAGATTAATGTTTATTAGTCGGTTTTGCTGAGTAACAATCCTGTGTTGTTGTCCTTATCCTATATCTGGGTTCCCAGCTTGGCCAGCTGAAATGTGTTTGTCTGTTTTTGATTCAGTGAAAAGAGCCACTCATAAGAGCCATTCATTCTGGAATCAGACTACACTGGCCACACTGTATTTATTTGCTTGACTAAAAAGAGATGGTTTATAAGTGTGATTTGTTGGAAATCAAACTATACTGGTTGTACTATATGTTTTTGATTCACTTCTGTTCTGTTTGGTTCACTAAAACAAACCAATTCATTAGTATTCGTTAGATAATTCATTAGATTCATTAGTTCAGGAAAAAAAGATTTTTTTTGAGAATCGAATTACACCGGTCATGCTGAAAGTTTTTGATTCTGTAAATAAGAGCCAATTCATAGGATTCATTCACTTATCAGACTACACAGGTCATGCTTTTGGTATAGTTCACCCAAAAATGAAAATTCTGTCATTACTTACTCGCCCTCATGTCGTTCCAAACCCGTACGATTTTCATTCATCTTCGGAACAAAAATGATCTTTTCGATGCAACCTGAGTCCTTTCTGTCCCTCCATAGATAGCCATGCAATGATGGCGCGTCAAAAAATTCATAAAGAGATTTTGAAACTAATCCAAATGAATTGAGCACTTTAGTCCAAATTTTCTGAAGAGACACGATCCTTTTATGATGAACAGATTTAATATTGTCTTTTATTCATAATAATTGCTGCGTAACACGAGAATGAACCTCATTGGTTCTCGCAAGACAAGCAAACACTCTTGATCTTCCGTTTATCATAACTGATGTATGTTGATGAATATTTATATGTGAGCTGTTTGTAAATCTAATTATACTATTTGTCCCGTAAATAGAGTCTGTAAATAGGAGTCATTTGTTTGGGAATCTAACTATACTAATTGGGTTGCATGTTTTTGATTCTAAAAACTGCCAGTTCATAAGAGTATACGAATCGGATTACCACTAAAAAGATCTCAGTTTAGGCCCGGGATTTTTTCAACTGGGTTGATATATTTATATTTTGCAAAGTCACAATCTATCTAAGACAGAGCGGAGGGGACCATTCGTCTTCCTTACCCAGGACACCACTCTGCCGTTGAAGCAGGGCAGCTTGGAGTTATCATCAGAGATTTCTTCTTTGACGACTCTGCAGGAAAGAACACAAACTGTTAGAGACTCTATGAGACCAGCACCCAGGATTGCACATCAGTTCACGTCTATTTGCAAAAGCTGAGGCATACTGAAAGCATGTCACGCTCAAACAGCGGAATTTTCCACTTAGCTCTCAACTGCTGGCTGCTCATGATGAGAATGCTGAACGCCCCTGTTGACCGACTACTCTATTGAAAACGGCTCAGTTTTAACGGGCCTCATTAGTACCTCATGCACATTTCAGATTACCTACTAAAACTGCTGTTGCTGGACCGATAGAGTGGCTTAGTATAAATGTGTACATCTAATATTTTTCGAAATTGAGGCTATATACTGTAAATAAATTCAAGTGTGGGCACATTTGTATGTGTGAAAGGTGTCAGGGCACAAAAAGTTATTAATAGAGTGAGTGAGTGTGTTAGCAGAGTGTCCATCCTAGGCTGTAAATTCCCTACATAAATACCACAGAGTTACCCTTTAACCCTCCCAGTCGAGGTTCAGCAGTCACACACCTGCTGGTCTCTTGTCACTGCGTGCAGGACTAGTACATACACACAAACCACATGAGACTGACAAAACCACTAAAGGGAAGGCTTGATTCACAGTATAAGCAGGATTACTAAGGATCCACAACATATGACTGTACTGGTAAAACGACCATGAGATACATTCTATATATTATATTCCATATTTGTAATGCTGAAAAAATCCAATAATTAACTCTAAATACCTGTATTAAATAAAACATTCACATATGAATAACCACTAAAATTACACCGATTTCTCACAAGTCAACAATTAAAACACACTTGTTGTTCATTAAAGGGATACTCAGAGTTAAACAGTTGAGTTTTACCGTTTTCGAATCCATTCAGCCGATTTTCTGATATTTAGAAGAATATAAGTATCCAGACAGTTTCTGGTCCCATTGACTTCAATTGTAGGCAAAAAATAAATACTATGAGTCTGGTTACTGATATTTTTCTAAATATCAGAAAATCGTCTGAATGCATTCAAAAACGGTAAAACTCAACTGTTTAACTCTGGGGGAGTCGTAAAATGAGCCTATTTCCAAAAAAAAAAAAAAAGTGGAGTATCCCTTTAAGTGAGTCTTACATTGTGAGTTCACCAACTGCTTTGACTATTCTTAAGTGTCACTGATTCACTAAAGAGAGCTGAGTCATAAAAGTCATTAGTTCATGAAACGGACTACATAGGCAATGCTGTGTTTTTGATTTACTAATGAGAGACAGTTCAAAAGATTCTTTTGTTCAGGAATCAGACAATCGGTTGGGCTGCTTTTGTTTGGTTCACTAAAAAAAGAACTGGTTCAAAAGAGTCATATGGTCAAGAATCAGACTACACTGGCCATGCTATATGCTTTTGGTTTACTAAAAAGGGCAGGATCATAAAAGTCATGGGTCGTGGAAGTAGAGTGCTCGCCCGAGCCTGGACCCTGGTTACGTTTGATCAATCTCAAATCAAACACACACGTGGTCTTATTTATGAATGACAGTGATTCTGCTATATCTATTAAACATTTGAAATTATGATCATACCTCACTTTCACGCTGTAGCTGAGCCAGAGAGAGCAAATGTTAAGCTTCAAATATAGATTGGATCTATTAAATTGTTATGCTAGTATGGTAACAACAAGTTATTTTTAAAATGTATTTGATACATAAATGAATCATTCATTCAAGAGATTTATTCAAAAATCCAATATGGTGTGAGCACCAAAATGAAAATCATGAAAATCATTTGGTTCACTTTTTTTTTCTCTGTTCCCAATTTTAGTAAGATCTCAAAGCGCCGCATCTGCAATCAAAAGTCACGTTTCAACAGGAACTCAAACATTTCTCATCAAATTCTTTAAATACCAAACAACAAGTATGCCACCAATTATTTCACTTGTTTCTATTTCTCAAAGGGACTCTGTGACGTTTGACTGTGTAATTTATGTTGTAGAACAAAACGGGAAAGTGTCTGAGTAGTAACATTAACCACAGACCTTATTTTAATCATAAATCGAACACAGCCACTCTAAAAACCCATTCGACGTTCCTGAGGGAACAAATTAGCCCTCCGCGTTTGCCTACAAACTGATGTCATGCCTGAACATCATTATATAGCATCTTTGCTTTTTTGTCACTATTACAGCCAAAGCTGCTTGTCATTTTCTAATGATTTCAAACAATTTTAGAACTTTGTATCACATCACTTCTTACATTAATGTCTCTTTCAGTGCTTGTGTTGCAGCATTCCTTCAAATCCCCAATGTATTAAAGCATCTGCTAAATGAATAAATGTAGCCTAGATGTAATATCAGTAACTATACTTCAACCATAACAAAAATATCAACATTGTGCAGTCCTAAAATGTGTTGATGGAGCGTCATGACTTGAGAAATTCCAGAAGTCTGTCGCAATTATAACGTCTTCCTCTCTGCTCCTGCAGAACTTCCAGGTCACATGACCCACACAGCTGTGAGACTGTGGAGGTGAGTTGAATGGGACTGAAGGATGATGATAACATGCTCTTGTGGAAGGAGTTACAAAACAAGGAGAGTTTCTACAGCCTGTGCGAGCGCCCTGAGCCCAGCACAGGAAACTGGGGTGTAACTCTGTCATGGGTAGGAAGTGTTTGTGTCCTCTCAAGAGGTCTTTACAATATACAGCAACATAAAGCGAGGACCGTGGGGGTGGACATAAGGAAGTGTGGTCTGTCCAAACTTGTAAGGGAAGGTAACGCCTTTGGTTACACACTGGAGTAAAAATCTGTTCTTTGGAGTAACAGTAATAATATTAGCTTAACACCAGATTTGTAGTGGTAAAAAAAGAGGTGGGTAAACTATAAATTCTAGTGGACCACGACGTGGTCACCAGGTAAGGTGGGCCACTGCCTACCGGTGTATGTTTATATCCTGATGACATTGCTATATAGGGAGGGCTCGACATATACGTAAATTCTCTTGTCCGAGTAAAAAAGTCGCTTGTCCGGATTGTGTGTTCCTTTATTCTGAAACAATATTCTCATCAGTGTTCAATCAGCTTTGATTTTTAAATCACCATATTGTAATATCTGCACCTTTAAAGGGCATCCCTTCCCCCAATATTATTTAATGTATGTATAAAAATTCAATTATTTCGAATAATAAGACACTATAGGGCTGTTACCATAGGGACTGATCAAATTAAATCATTTACACTGAAAAATTACAATTGCATAATATAATGTTATGAAATTGATTTGAATTTAATTTACATTTAAACGTTGGAAAGAATGATAGTAAACATTTAACACTAAACCGCCAGTAGATGGCGGCAGGCGACAGTCTTAATGAGTGAGTCATTGATTAATTCATTCAAACGATTCGTTCAAACGGCTGATTCATTCAACAATGAGAGAGTTTATGAATGGGTCATTGAATCTTTGACTCAACCGATTCGTTCAAAATGCTGAATCATTCATTAATGAAAACAGGTGTTCCTGTAACATGCGGGGTGGATATGCTGCGATCTTTGTTTGGAACTATTTTCGTTGCTGAAACAGAACAAAAACATCCAATATTGCATCTAAAATGTAAGTGATTTAATTTTAAATGTTTATTGGACTGTTGTAGTAGGAAATCAATGTCACATTTTCAATCTTGATGGTGTTCAGGAAAAATAAATGAGGTTGCTTAACATATGTTAAAAATATATAACTCAACATTTAGATTTTTATAGGCAGTATGTTGTTAACTGTGTGTGTGTGTGTGTGTGTGTGTGTGTGTGTGTGTGTGTGTGTGTGTGCTGCGCTCATTTGTGTTGATTTGTGCTCGAGAGGCATCAACAGTGCAACCGTCAGTAGGCTAATAGTCTAATACTGACAGAAATGCAGGGCAATATGAAAGAGTTTGTCTTAGATTTACAACCTATGAAACTAATAATGAACAATATGAAACTAAAACGACATAAGCTTAATTTAAAATGTCTTAGGAACTACAAGATATTTAGAGGTGGATAAACGCACTTTGGAGTTGGGTAAACAAACGCTATTTCCGAATTGGGAGGTGTGTAAACGGCGTTTACGTGCGTTTAGCCGTCACTACATCCCTGCTTAACACATAAAAATAATTTTTAGCTTTGTAACAAAGTTTCTTATAAGGACGGTTCTCTCAAACATTAAAAATCTGTCATTATTTGCTCACCCTTATGTTGTTTCAAACCTGTATGACTTGCTACTTCTACACAAAAGATATTGAATTTTTTGTTGCATTTGTTGTTTGGGATGGACCAATGCAATACATTTTATGAAGTGGACTTTTTTTCTTCTAAATCACAGAATGAATGTCATACAGGTTTGGAAAAATATGAGGGTGATTAAATGATGGCTACAGATTAATTTGGGGGTGAACTATCCCTTTAAGCAAGCAATAAAATATTAAAGAATTAGTTTCACCCACATGAAGCTCACCCCGCCCCATGCCATGTCATCCAAGATGGCCATGTCATTCTTTCTTCAGTCGAAAAGAAATAAGGTTTTTGATGAAAACATTCTAGGATTGTTCACAATATAATGGACTTCAATGGGAACCAAACGATTCAAGGTCCAAAAATCAGTTTCAGTGCAAACTGTTCAAAGGGCTTTAAACGACCCCAGATGATGAATAAGGGTCTTATCAAGCAAAACGATTGCTCATTTAAAAAAAAAAAAGTTCTGTGATGCACGTTCGTGACTCTCCTGTTCGAACTCGTTCATCAAAATGAATGAATCTTTTTCCGAGTCAATTTATTCATTTTGTTCTTGTTGAATGAACCAAATGACAAAAAAAGATCCGTTCATTTTGATAAACTAACCGTAAGGCGACCATTTGAGATCTAGCAGACGAAAATCAATATATGACCATCCATGCACATGGCCTCATTCAGGGCTTTTTTGACTAGCAACCACATGGTCATGATATCATTTATCTACTTCAGGGATTTCCTGTGTTGTGGGACTTCTCCTTCT